GTAGAAAAAGAAGTTTGATAGTCAGGACCAAAAGGAGGACCGTATTTATGATTGACTTCAGAGTTTAAAATTCTGTAATTGTCACCTTTGGGAGTAGAAGAATTTTGGTAAAAAAGTATTGATTATCTATGGTAAGTTCCAGAATAACTCTAACAGTCTCACTAGTTGATTCTATAACTATTAACAAGGAGGTGATATCATATAAAATGGATTTTCTTAGTATTGTGCAAAGATAGTTTCTTTGTAAATATAGCATTTAAGACAGGCAGTTTTGTGTACAGTTGCTAGGTATCTGAAGGTCACACCCAGTGTGATAACGCTCCATGTAAAAGTTGTCATCATTTTGGGATTCACAGTCCATCCCTGTGAGACAGGATATTGAGAGAAGATTTGGGTAGTGGGGAAGAGTATGTAGTTATCTACCTTCATTTCAGCTTCAGGAGATTACAAATGTATCATTAAAGCATTTTTTTGGTAGCAGTGTAGTTTTCTGTATTGGATAATTTTCTGTGGCATAATATCTCTAGTTACATAGTTTCAAATAACACAATGAACACATCTTCCTGCTGTAACTTGAAGCAAAATGAACAGATTGTCTTTATAGCCCCTGAGAAAGTCTTTTGAATGTCTGCAGTGGTGGCAAATTTTTGTTTGTGAAAAACCCAGTTTTTGGAAAGGATAAGTCTGATGAATAAAATTAGAGTGATAAAGCTGGGTAATACCAATTAGGAAGCAGTAGAAATGAGATGTGACCACAAAGGAAGGGTTTTCTGTTTATTTTTTAATCTGGCTCTTCATGGCTGTTCCAAAAGAGATTTTCGAGATGTTTTCAGTAATGGTGGTGTAAGTGAAATATGCACAGAACTTCTGGAGGTGATTAATTTTAAGGAATCTTTTATTTTTTTATTTCAAATAAAAATTTTTTATTATCATCTATACTATCTGCTTATACCACACTGCCTTTTTTTAAAATCTTTTTTTTTCATTTATTTTTATTAGTTGGAGGCTAATTACTTCACACAGGATTGTTGATTTTAAATTCTGAAGCATTGTGGTTATGTTATATTTCACAGGCCTGCAACTGAATGACCAGTTTTTAAGAATAATGAAATTTATGCTGTGTTTACTGTGTATCAGACTCTCATACTGAGTACTTGCAAATATTAACTCAATCTTCTTTACAACCCTATTTTAATTATTATCCCCATTTTACAGGTGAGGGAATGGGTCACTGAGTGGTTAAGTAACTTGCTCAAGGTCGTGAGTAGAGGACTGTGACTGAAATGTGGGCAGTTTGGCTCCAGAGTCTGGTCTCCTAACTGCAAGTCCAGTTAAGAGTCCAGACTGAGCTGCTCCTACCACCTGTTACCCTCTTAAGTGTTTTTAATTGGCTTGTTCTGGAAAAGTTGGTCCTTTAGTAAAAGGCTTCTGGCGTAGATTGTTTGAGGGACCAATAAATGAGTTCTAAAAGTAGTCTGTTAATCAGAAAAAATGTAGTCAATATTCAGTTCACATAAGATTCAGCAAAAAAAAAAACAAAAAAAACCTCAAAACAGAAGCCTGTGTGGAATAAAAACACATTAAAATAATTTTGCTAGAGCCATTTTACTTTGAGCTAAGTAGTTAGACAAGGAGGATATGAGAAATAGAACTAGAAGCTAAAGAAATTTTACAGGAAAGGCTATTTAAAACCTGAGTTGCCAGGGGACACTGATGGAAAAATTGGTAGTTGTATTAATATGGCCCTATTTGAGAACCAGAAAACCAGGGACAAATGGATACCTTATAGTATATACCCACAGGTGTAAACAGTGAGATTCCTCAGGGAACCTTTCTTAACAGCCTTCTGATACTGTATAAATGGGTCAACAACAAAAAGCTCATAGAGAAAAGTCTGAAACTGGGCATGTGAATGATAACATTTGTAGATAAAAGCAACTCTAACCGTATTTGTAGAAGGGTTGGCTCCACATTCAGATACATTCAAGTAAATACTAGATGGGCTTCCCTGTTGGGTCAAATGGTAAAGAGTCTGCCTGCAATGCGGGAGATCTGAGTTCGATCCCTGGGTCGGGAAGATCCCTTGGAGAAGGGCATGGCAACCCACTCCAGTATTTTTGCCTGGAAAATCCAATGGATGTAGGAAACTGGTGGGCTCCAATTCATGGGGTTGAAAAGAGTCAAGACACGACTGAGCAACTGACACACTCAAATGTTAGATGCCAGGGAAGGCATCCAGTAATCCTTAGGGACTTCGATAAGGACACTTGCACATGGTCAGCAGAATCAAATGCTGCATACTAACAGAGGGAGTGCTGGAAACTTTAAAGTATCCTACCCATGAATAAAATGATATACTGAAGAAGCAGCAGTTCCTCACCTTCAGAAAGGCATATATGTAACCCAGAGAAGGTCCAAATCATGACAACAAAAATATTTAAGGGACTGAGATGGTTATCAAGTGAACATAAAGCTAAGAAGACATCTGGGCTGAGTGACTCTCTGGGTGCAATGGACTAGGCTTCATCTTGGGTGGTTTCTTTGCAGTCCTGGGTTGGAGCCACTGTTTCCTGCACCCTGTGCCATCCAGTTCTTCGTTTTCTCTCTTCTTTAGTAGCTGTGTCAACACTCCTCTAACCCTCCTGAGGTGTTTTATGAGAAAAAAGTAGTTCTTTCCTGAATTATCTGTTTCCTCTAGGTTCCGTAGGTCCTTGGATTTTCTTATGCTACTGGCTTTTCTCATTTGTTGGGTGGTTCTTGGTTGTCCGTATATATTTAAGAATTTAGGGCTGAGGGACTTCCTTGTTGGTCCAGAGGCTAGTATTCTGCACTCCTAATGCAGGGGGTCCAGAAGTTTCGATCCCTGGGTTGGGAACTGGATCTCACATGCTGCAACTAAGATTGAAGATCTTGCAGGCTGCAGTTAAGACCCAAACAAAGATTTTTAAAGAAAGAAAGAGAAGGGCTAGACAATGATTATTTTAGATAGCTAGTATGCAGGGTATCTCTAAGGCTTTCCCCAGTAAGCTCCATTAGCTCCCTGTTCTGTGAGGTGGAGCTTATATTGAGCTTTATAAGTGGCTGTGAATGTGGCTTGGCATGCCTCAGACTGATAATTTTGTCTAGCTGAGAATGGTAGGTTTTATAATCCTGGTAAAATACTTGGTGGTGTGTTATGAGGTAGAAATAAACTACCCTTACATTTCTGAAATAGAAATTTCAATATTAATAAAGGAAAGCAGTACTTTGGGAGCAAAGAGGGAATAATTAAAAAAGCTTGTAAGTCAGATTCAGATACCGAATTTCTACCGTGTTTCATGTTTCTGGTGATGCAGAAGGGATTTATAAGTGAAACACAGGTCCTGCCCTCTCAGAAACTCTGCGACCCCACGGACTGCAGCACGCCAGGCTTCCTTGTCTTTCGCGTCTCATGCTCAAACTCATGTCCATTGAATCGGTGATGCCATCCAACCATCTCATTGTCTGTTGCCCCTTTCTCCTGCCCTCAATGTTTCCCAGCATCAGGGTCTTTTATTTAAGTTAGTTGGAAGATTGACCAACATGCCAAAAGTAATAATGGACAATGTGGTCAGGAAAGACTTAACTAAAACGAGTTTGAAAAAATTGCAGTAGGCTGCAGAGGCATTACACTGAATGTATATAGTTACATTTTAATTCTATTCAACTAAAAGCCATTCTCTTTTGTATACCTCCTCAAGTTGAAGTTGTATATGTGCTCTTGTCTGTGTCTTTTCTAAACATTCATGAGTAGTGGGTTGTGCTAGGTGAATTCTACATTCTCTACAACTCCCAAGTTTTATTAGTTTACTTTTAAAGCTGGCCTTGAATTCTCGCTACCCAGTTTGGATTAGGTTGAATCAATTTTGGTTTAATATAATAATATTATTGAGTATCAGCTATAGTACAGGCAGTGTGCTGGGGTTGAAATCAGTAAGACTAATACACAACCTAACAGGGGACACAGAGATGTAAGCAAATGTATTACTATGTGTTAAGTGTTTTCATGCGATCTTATGCATAGAGGTAGCCAAGATGGTGGGAGATTTTGGTGCTCTATGGGTGAGGACAGGAAATGCTTTCTGGAAAAGATGACAGCTGGGATTTAAAGGGTAAATAGGAGCTTTCCAAATGCACAAGGAAGGAGAGCCATTCCAGGTAGGGAAAATACCCAGACCGAAGCAGAACGGTGCATTAGGGCAGTTTTGAACAGTATTGCTGGAATATAAAGTAAAGGAAGTAAGACTGAAACACTTCAGCATGAATCTGGGACAAGCCCAGCATCTTTGGTATTCTATTTGGCTTGACAATCAATTGGGAAGTTTAGATAGTCAGTCCAAATGCAAGGTTAATGACTAAACAGATACTTTTTCACCCACTCTGAATGCGTTGGAAGAAGAACCGAGATGAAACAGCATTGAAATTCGAGGATTAGTGGACTTTAATGGAGGAAGCTTGGGACTTAACTTTTAGAAATGTAATGGTTTAAATTATTGGGAATGTGCTTGATATCCTGGCAAAGTCACCTGGCATAAAATGTTTCAAGCAGGTGTTTTGAAGCAGTTGTATCAATACTACAGAGAAGGACATGCAGGTAATAGCAGCTCTGGTAATAAGCTTGTTTTCTGTCACCTGATTCCCAGAAGATCAGTTAACTGTAAACCAGCTGCAGGTGGATCTGTGGGGCCAACCCCAAAACCTAGTGCTGCCACCAGAAGTGCTTCCCCTGGCTTCTATGGCCTTGTTCATCTCCTCTCCTGAGCCTGTCCATGATGGTGGTGGTCCCTGCAAGTGGGGCAGCCAAGTGATTTATGTGCCTGAGTTTATTGTAGTAGAGTGTTAACCCCTCGGAGTCTTTCATGTTTGGCTCCCTCCAAAATGCTGCAGATTGAATGTTGTCCCAGATTTTATCCTTTTACTAAGATTCCTATGTTGTATCTTAATTTATTTTCCTCTTTAACATTTCTCAGGCTTTCTTGATCATGGATGGTGAAGATATACCAGATTTTTCAAGTTTGAAGGAGGAAACTGCTTATTGGAAGGAACTTTCCTTGAAGTATAAACAAAGGTAATGCCAGAAAGCATCCTAGAAATAGAAGAGGGCTTTGGAATACATAATCTCTAACTTTTTGTGCTTTTTTGTTTGTTTTAACAAAGCTAAATTTAGAGTTTCCAGTATAGGATTGGGATTCTAGAAATAGTCATAACAAAATAACATTGCTTGTATTTAAGGAAGATAAAGTGCCATAAAACCTTACATTACTTGAATTATTAAAATAGTAAGAAAACAGTGTCGTTTATGATTTCTTCTGGTAGCTTACTTCCTTTTAGAAAGACTATTTCTGCTCTTGGCTATCTTTGGCTTGCTGGGTGTGCACTGATTGTGCCTCCTCATTTTGGTCTTTTAGAGATTCTAATAAGCTCTCTGGGACTCCATAGGGCAAACTCTTTTTGGGCAGGTGTTATCAGTGTCTGGAGCCAACAAAGCTTTGAGGGAGGGACAAGAGCTTCTGGGTATATGGAGTATTTTAGAAAATCTCAATTATTTCATTTATTTGAGAGAACTTTTAGGTAACCTTTTAAGTAGAAAACTTAAATTTCTTTTTAAAATCTTTTGAAAGTATATATACATCATCCTACTTTGGTTAGCAGTTTACTAAGACTTACTAAACCTTTTATTGCTATTTCATTGTTGTTGCTGAAGCCAGTTATTGTATCATGCTAGTTATATGGAAGGTGTGTCTATGGCAAGAGTTCATAGTCCTTTTTTTTTTTTGTGCCATAGATACCTTCATAGGCTGGGAAAATCTACGGAACCCTTCTCAGAATAACATTTTTAATGCATAAAATTAAATAGAATTACAGAGGAAACCAATTATATTGGAAAAAACACATCTAAATGTTAAAACTGATTTGTGGATAGTGATATGTGCTTCTTTGTCAATATGTTAAATAAGAAAGGGGTGAGTGTATAAAACGTGAATTCTTTTGCAGCTTTTAGCTTACTTTCATTGAACCCTGAATATATAGAGTAAGAGATGCAAAATAGAGTGCCTTTATTGTTTAGTATATTTTATGGTAGCATAAAACTCAGGTGAAAATTTTTGGATTGATATATAATCATCTTCAGGATGATCCTTACGGTTTCTACTATAACTGATCTTTCCCACTTTGTTTCTGATTAGCTTCCAGGAAGCTCGGGATGAGCTAGTTGAATTCCAGGAAGGAAGCAGAGAGTTAGAGGCAGAGTTGGAGGCACAATTAGTACAGGCTGAACAAAGAAATAGAGACTTGCAAGCTGATAACCAAAGACTGAAGTACGAAGTAGAAGCATTGAAGGTAATTGTGGCAGTATAAGCTGGTGTCTCTTTGGCTGGGTTTTGTTAAAGTTCTTACATTAGTTCTACCTGTACATTCTTACAGGTAGAGCTTAAGAGCAGCAGGCAACATAAAAATGTAAAAAGGCCTAAAATGAATTTTTGACATAAACTGTTTGTTTTCATGGAACCAAGGCAAAGGTGTTCTAGAGTTCAGAAGTTCACCTCAGAACCCTGTAGCTGTCAATTTTTTTTGGCTATAATGTTCCTAGCTCTATAATATTATGTTGTAGTTCTATAATTTTCAAAAGCTGCCTGGAAAAAAAAGGCTGCCTGATTATTTGCTATGATAGCGTGCCTCATTCTGTAGTACTTTAAAATTATCTTTGTATGACACATACATTTATTTCATTATGGTTTATGGTCACTTTAGTTTTGGAGTTTAATTTTTAAAAATTCCCTTCTAACAAGGAATTTTCAGGAGTAGAAAAGTTAATCTCTCTTGCTGTTGTTCATCACATGCCTAAGCCAAATGTTTGGGGTGTTCCTGTGTCTGGGCAGGAGGTAGGTTTAGAGAAGGTGAGATTGGGCAGGCAAGGTGTAAGAAATTTGAACCCTGTCACTCAACTGCTTTATGTTTACCCTGGGCTGCATTCAGCCTGAGAACCCGGAGGTTTTTAAGGCCACAATTTTACTACGTTACCTCTTTTCAGAGAGACCATTATTAAATTTCTTTAAGAGAAGTGATTGACTAATATGAATTAAAGCACTGGAAATGACTGTGTCATTTTAACATTGTAAAAAGGGAAAAAAGAATACTATCAGATTGTGGGTGAATTTTTTGGATCCTTCCCCAACCTGCCTCTTGTTTGGGTTACATCCTTTATTAAAGAAAACTATATGCTAATGACACGTTCTTTCCTTCTATACCCACACCTTCAGGAGAAGCTAGAACATCAGTATGCACAGAGCTACAAGCAGGTCTCAGTATTAGAAGATGATTTAAGTCAGACTCGGGCCATTAAGGAGCAATTACATAAGTATGTAAGAGAGCTGGAACAGGCTAATGATGACCTGGAGCGAGCAAAAAGGTAAGTGAATGATGTGCATGTTGTTAAAATAACTGAAGTTGGCAATCTGTGATTAAAAAGTTATTTTAGATACAACCAGTTACCTAAATCTTAGTACCAGAACAACTCCTTTTGGTATTTCAAGTCACCTGTAAGTCATCACATTGAAACTTACCAAAAATCCTTATCTCCCTAGATAATGCCCTTCCAGGTTTTTCTTTCCATTTTTCCTTCTTTCATGTACCATTGTGGATCCTGTTGGTTTTTCTTTAAAAGGTCTTATTCATTCCTCCGTCTTCCCTGTGTTCTCAATACTATGACACTTTTTGAAGGTCCTAATGTTGTATACCTGAATCCTGCAGTTGTTTCCTAACTGATCTGTCCTTAAGTTTTCACTTCTTTTCTCTTCTGTTTTAATACTTACCAATGAATTTTCTTGAAATAATGCTTTTATTACGATTTTGCTGAACAGCCTATAGGAGCTTGCCATTACTTTGCCAAGATTTCATATATCTATCATTGTTTCTTAACCATCCCAAATGTAATTTGTATTACTTTACAATCATTGTCTGAGATTTCTTTCCTTAATATTTGAGTAACTCTGAAAGGCTTGGCATGATGCTAGAGTTGAGGATACAAAGATAAGCTTGCCACTGCCCTTGGGCATGATAGATATGGACAGTCCATGTGATAGCCCTGGTATTAATACAAAGAACATACAAGCTGCTCAACCACCCTTTGGTAACTGGGAAAGCTGGGTCTGCGAGGAGTAGATGTTAACTGATGAAGAGAGAGATTCGAAGTCAGAGAGGCAGAAAAAGGGCATGAGGTGTTACTATTTTACTTTAAAGTGCATAAAGACAGTGTGGCTGAACAAGACAAGACTGGAAGGTGTTTGGGGCCAGGTTGCAGAGAACCCTGTGCTTGGCTCTGTTTGAAAGTCATTCTGTAAGCAAAGAGACACTCTTAAGAGTTTTTTTAAACAAAGAAGTGTTACCAGATTGCAATTTGAAAGATATTACTGAGAAATTAGAAGTAGGGAAGAAGTGAAGACCGTTTTGGAGTAACCCAGATGATGTTTTGGCTTGTTAGTAGCTCAGTTGTGTCCGACTTTGCAACCCCATGGACTATAGCCCACCAGGCTCCTCTGTCCATGGAATTCTCCAGGCAAGAATACTGGAGTGGGCAGCCATTCCCTTCTCCGGGGATCTTCCCAACCCAGGGATCGAACCTGGGTCTCCTGCATTACAGGCAAATTCTTTACTGTCTGAGCCACCAGGAATGGGTGAAGAATTAAGTCTGGGGCAGGAGATTGGAGGAGAGCAAGTGGAGCTGAGAGACAGTTGACAGAAAATTGGACATGGCATTGAGAGTTCTAACTTGAGGTTAGGAAATTTTAATTCTGTAGCAGATAGCACATAGTGGATAGAGGGCACATAGTAGGTACCTGTCAGTGTTTGCTGAATAAATGAGAAATGCAGGAAGTCGAAAAGGGTTGATAGGAAGAAAGTAGGTAGGGGGGACCTGGGACTGTGTTTTAAACAAATTCTTAGTACATTTTTACATATTTTTACATACTCTGAAACCACTGAACAGTTTTCTTCCTGAAAATGTGTAAACCTCATTGAAACATGTTTAAAATCCAGTGGGGAGATATAACGTGTATAATAAGTAACTTGCCTTTAAGAGACTTGAAGGAATTTAGATAGGAATATAAAGGAAAAGAATATATTGAATGGCCAAGTTATAATAGAGACAGTAAATGCACCAGAGGTCAGAAGGGGTGAGATCATTTTCTTTCAGCTGGGCCAGGCTTTCTAGGTCAGGAAATAGCATGAGATAAACTGACAGTTTCCTTTTGTAGTAGCTAGTTGCACATTATTTGTTTAATTCATGGACTCTGATTTTTTTTTTAGGGCAACAATAGTTTCACTGGAAGACTTTGAACAAAGGCTAAATCAAGCCATTGAACGAAATGCATTTTTAGAAAGTGAACTTGATGAAAAGGAATCTTTGTTGGTCTCTGTACAGAGGTTGAAGGATGAAGCAAGAGGTAAAATTTATAACTTAAAATATATTTATTACTTACTGTCCAGAGTGCTTAGCTCTGACAGATAAGTGCTTAGCTTAGCCAGAGTGCTAAGCTTGCTTCAGGATCAACTTTTTAAAGCTGTTTATTTACATGCTTTGGTCAGACACTATGCCAAGTACTTTTAGTCTGTTAATAGCTATATCATCAACTCTAGGAGGTAGGTGGTATTATACCCATTTTATAGGTTAGAAAACTGAGGCATAGCAAGTTTGGGTTTTGTCCAAGGTCTTTTAGCTTGTCAGTTGGGATTCAGACCTGGTCTGTTTCCCCAAATCTTAATCATCACCACTGTGCAGATACTGCTTGGTTTTATTTGGAGTTTTTCCTTTTTGTTGTACCTAAATAATTTTGTGGAAAAAAAAAATTTGTATTAGGCACATAATAGCATTATATATGTGTGCATATTGCAGTATCAGTTCAGTTCAGCTAAGTTGTGTCCACCTCCTCGTGACGCCATGGACTTCCGCACTCCAGGCTTCCCTGTCCATCACCAACTCCCATAGCTTACTCAAACTCATGTCCATTGAGTCGGTGATGCCATCAAACCATCTCATCCTCTGTCGTCCCCTTCTTCTCCTGTGTTCAATCTTTCCCAGTATCAGGGTCTTTTCCAGTGGGTCAGTTCTTTGCATCAGGTGGACAAAGTATTGGAACTAATCTTACAATGAATATTCTGATTTCCTATAGGATGGACTGGTTGGATCTCCTTGCTGTCCAAGGGACTCTCAAGAGTTTTCTCTAACACCACAGTTAAAAAAGTATCAATTCTTCAGTGTATATTGCAGTATACATGTGTATAATACATATAGTGAATATATACTTTCTTTTAAAATTTTCTTCCCTCCCTCTTTTTTTCTTTTATGCATGTTAGAGTGCAGAGCATTGTAAAGAAGAAACTAAAAGTCACTCTTTATCTCTTTATCTTGAGAGAATTCACCAGGAATTTGGTGTCTTTCCAGTCTTTCCATAACTATACATAAGCATACCCGTTTGTTTTTTTTCTTTATATAGTTGAACCATGTTTTATGTATTTTTTCTATCTTTTTTTTTTTAACTCCTTAATGGGTCCTTTGTTATTGGAATTTACATTTTTGCTATATATAGTGCTGTAAATAGGGTCTTTGTACATAATATTTGGGGGTATCTTTGATTTTCTTAGACTAGATTCTTAGAAATAGCACAGAATATAAGTGTCTTTAATGGTTGTAACAGATGCTGCTAAATTACTTTTAGGTAAATTGGTACCTTTACACTTTGGTTGTGATTGAGGGTCCTCTCAGTCCTCCTCACACTGTTTATTAGTATTGTGAATAATAAAAATAAATTTTAAAATTATTTAAAAACCTGTTTGAAAATTGATATTATATTGTTTTTATTTATTTTTAAATTAAAAAAATTTTTTTGTTGTGTGGTCTTAGTTCCCCAACAGGGATTGAACCCCAGCCCTTGATGGTGAAAATGAGGAGTCCTAACAACTGGACCACCAAGGAATTCCCAATATCACATTGTTTTTTTTTTTTTTAAGTTTTTAAAATTTCATTTATTATTTTAAACTTTTTATTTTGTACTGAGGTTTAGCTAAATAACAATGTGATAGTTTCACATGAACAGCAAAGGGACTCAGCCATACAATACATATATCCGTTCTCCCCCAAACCCACCTCCCATCCAGGCTGCCACATAACACTGAGCAAAGTTCCATGTACTCTACAATAGGTTATTGTTGATTATCCTTTTTAAATATAGCAGTGTGTACATGCCCATCTCAAACTTCTTGTCTAATATCACCTTGCTTTTAATTTGTAGTTTTTTGGTTGGTACTTGTGAAAACTTTTTGTCTGTTTTTATTGGGTCTTTTAAAAATTGTTTTTTCAGGAATTCCCTGGCAGACCAGTGGTTAGGACTCCGGTCTCACTGCTAGGGGCCTAGGTTTGATCCCAGGTCAGGGTACTAAGATCCCGCAAACTGTGCAGTCAAAAAAAATTTTCTTCATGGCTTCCTTTTTTGGGGGAGGCTTTATTCATTTGAAGAACTCATGATTTATATAATGTATAAAATATTAACTTTAACCTATTCTAAAATTTACAATTGTGGTTAAAAGTAACATAAAATTTATCATCTTAATGATTTTTAAGGGTACAAGTTAGTAACGTTAACTATATTCACATTGTTTTGTAGACCTCTAGAACTTTTTCATCTTGTAGTATTGAAACTCTTTGCCTATTGGACAACAAATCCTCATTTCTCCCTTCCCCAGCCCTGACAACTGCATTTCTACTTTCTCTTGTTACGTGCAACTACAGTAGTCCCCCCTTATCTGTGGTTTTGCTTTCTATGGTTTCAGTAACCCATGGTCAGCTGCAGTCTGCAAATATTAAATGGAAAATTCCAGAAATAAGTGATATATAACTTTTAAATTGTGCACCATTCTGAGTAACAGGGTGATGTTTTTTGCTGTCTCGTTCACTGAATCATCCACTGGGGATCTTGGCACACACCCTCCTCAGATAAGGGAGAGCTGCTACATTTTAGATGCATTATATACGTGGAATCATACAGCTACCAAGTATTCTTGCTATTGGTCAGTTGCATTACAGGAAAAGAGAGCATTAATTTTGGGCTAAAAATTCAATATTTGAAAAACAGAAAGCAGTTGCAACTATTTTGACTATTTCCTTTCTAAAATAAAATATTTCATAGGGAAATGAGTAAAAGAATGTCAACCCATTAAAAATGACAAAATTGTTCTTCATTGATCTTGTAATAATCCCCAAACTACATCATCATTTCAAAATAAATGCAAATAAGTTGATTAAGAATATTTGTATTTGTGTCCTATCTGTTCACTGTGAGTTCTGCTTTGGACTCTGCCTTAATTTTGCATAAAGACAGAATAATTGTTACGTTTATCGCATTTTTAAATTCTAAATGACCATTTAGACAGTAGGGTTGTCATTTTTATTTCCTTGGAAGTAAAAATTATTAAATATGAAAATAATTTTTGAGAAGTAATTTAGGAAAAATGTCTTTATGGCATCTCAGATGTAACTTTCCTTGATGTATTTGCTCCCTCTAGTGAATATTGCTACCTTTGCAACATTTTACAGATTTAAGGCAAGAACTAGCTGTTCGGGAAAGACAACAGGAAGTAACTAGAAAGTCAGCTCCCAGTTCTCCAACGCTGGACTGCGAAAAGATGGATTCTGCCGTCCAAGCATCACTTTCTTTGCCAGCTACCCCTGTTGGCAAAGGAACGGAGAACAGTTTTCCTTCACCGAAAGGTTTGTAATGTCTTTTCTTTCTGAATCTATGGCTGATTATCACCTAAGAGGCTTTGCTGATGAAGCAGGGGTTGCTAAGGTTTGAGCAGTCTTTTTAGTTTAAAGGTTGGTTTAGTCTAGCTCTATGTGAAACAGCAGGAATTATTTCCCTAGACCACTTAATCATATGTAGGAAACAGTGAAGTGAGAGCTACATTTAAGACAAGAAACAGTGAAGTGAGAGCTACATTTAAGACAAGAACAGCTTAATAAATTGAAATTTTAAAAAGTTGAAGATCTTAAGGAAATTAGATTATAGTAACACATGTTCATGTAGAAAAATATAAAAATATAAACAAGAGAAAAAATAAAATTCATCTGCAATCTTAGTGCTTAAAGTCAATTATTATTAACACTGAAGTTTTTTCTGTTGTGTGTACTTTTTTGTGTTCATGTCACTTTGTTACAAATTTTGGGATCATATTTAAATGCAGTTTTGTTTCTGGCCCCTGCCACTGAACATATCATGGGAGACTAGAAGTCTTTATACATGGAAAGTACAGAGACTCATTGAGTTACCATTCAGGCTCATCTAAGTTGGCTTGGATGGACATGTCTGTTCTATGACATGCCTCAGCTGCCATATTCATAGGTGAATAGTGCATAAAAAATATTCCTTTTGCCATCAGTCAAGGTGTTTTTTAAAATCCAGATAAGCAGAAAAACGTTTAAGCAGTCACTAGATAGAACGTTAAGAATGGAACCCTGAAACTCTGAGATTTATTTAGTTTTTGCAGCTTGCAGATCATATTTCAGCTACTTCCACTCCCCTGTACTTTCTTCTTACCCTTTTTTAAAATATAGGATTTTATCTTTCAGAGTGATATGAAGTAATTTCAGGTAGTACAGTTAGCCCTCCATATCTCCATATTTGTGCTACCCATATCTCCATATTTGTGCTACCCATAGCCACTCAAATGTGACTATTTAAAATTTTAAACTGAGTTTCTAATTGTGTTGGCCTTACTTCAAGTGCTCAGAAGCCCTTAAATAGATAATTCACCCTTTTTTTTTGTCTTTTTATGAGGGTGAGGTGAGGTAAGGTATGTAAAAGTTCTATGTAGTTTTGTTGCTGATTGTAGCAGTATGTGCTGAGTTTGCTGCTAAGAATACAGAGTAGGCAGTATATAGGCATTATATACAGCAGGCATCAGAAGCTGTCATTTTTCAGAATGGCTGCTTGTATATTTGAGGACCTTAGAATTAGTGGCATATGAGAATTAGCATTTAAGATCTGTTTTTTTTAATGTTACTAATTAAAATTATGCAGATAAGTTCTGAAAATTCTTCAGCTAAGCCCTAATTGGAATTATCTGGAGCCTCAAGGGGGGTGTCAGTAGGACACAGAGCTTGCTCTGGCACAGAAGGAAGATATGTCAAGCCTAAGACAAGAATATTTGTCCAGAGAGACACATTTTTAGATTGGAACTGATGGCATGAACTTTCGCTGGCCTAAAAGCTGCTGTTTCATTGCAAGGAAGTTGGCACACAGACAGTGAGAAGCCAAAGGTTAGAGAAATCAGTGGCAAGATTGAAGAGCTGATCTCTATGAAGTGGTTTGGCTGTAATTGCATTTTATTGATAAAATGCCTGTTTCTGAAAACCATTTAAAACAACTTTCCATAACAGTACAGATTTAATAATAGTGAAAATATAAAATTTGAGTAGAATAGGAAGAACAAGATCCAGAAGTCCCTGCCAAGGAAAGTATAGCACTTTGTATCACATTGGGCACCTGTTATGTGCCATGTATTACTCAGGATGCAGGGAGCAGAGTGGTTAGACAAAGTTGTGACCTTTGGGACTTCTGTGGCGGTCCAGTGACTGAGACTCTGTGCTTCCACTGCAGAAGCACAGGTTTAAATCTCTGGTCGGGGAAGTTTCATGTACTGCATGGTGTGGCCAAAAATAAATAAATGTCACATTGGGAAATATATATGAGAGAAAGGATGAATATCTGTATAACTATACCATGCAAGGGTACAAGTGCTCTTTGCAGGTTGATTAAAAAAAAAGACAACTCAGCAGGAAAAAGTACAGAAGATAAACAGATGACTTCCAAAAAGATTTAAATGACTCTTGGATTAAGGAGACAAAAGTTAAAGTGACTATCAAAGTGGGCACAAAGAAAAAAGATGTTTAATATTATTGAGAGCACTGCCATACGGACTGCTAATATTGACACAACCTAGAGAGCATTTTAGTAGGATATTAAGGTGAAAATTTGGGCATATCCTCTGACTCATGAGTTCTATTTTTAGGAACCTTTTCTCCAGAAATACTTGTCTAAGGTTATATGTTCATTTAGCATTGTTTATAATAATGAAAAATTGGATATAACCTAAATATCCTTTGGAGAATGGTTAAACGTATTTGTGGTATCTCCACTTTATACTATATCCACAGTTATAGAATATATTGATTTTTCATTGTGTATACTACTTTGTAAACTGAAACAAACCCAAATGTAAAGGAAGTTGCCAGAGTAATCACTCGCCTCTGACCTTTCTCTAGCTATACCAAACGGTTTTGGTACCAGTCCACTGACTCCTTCAGCTAGGATATCAGCACTGAACATCGTGGGGGATCTCTTACGGAAAGTAGGGGTAAGCATTTCGTTATTTATCACTAGGTGTTTCAGCTGCCAAGGTACTGAATTGTTTCTTACCTTGAAGTGAGGGTGAGGTAAAGGCTATTAAGCTTAGAAGCAAGAGCATCCATTGACCACCCGAGACTGGTTCAGATAAACACCTCTGCTCAGCCTTTCCAGTGCCTCTGCAGAAGGTTGCCTTATTGAACTCCAAGTCCCTGCTGGGCCTTTGTCATGCTCGCCCTGGCTGTCTCTAAAGCATTGACGACTCCTACGTTCTCTGAAGGCCTGCTGTATGTCTTATCCCTCCCTCTAATCCTGTTCTGTGCTTTGCCTGCTGTCGTCCTGGTCATCGCCCGGCTTTCTCTTCAGAGGACTCTTGCCTTGGCTCATGGCATGACTTTGCTGCTCTTGGCCACCACCTCCCTGCTGCCTGGCCATCTCCATTCCAGTGCCATCTCCTTGGCTCTCACCTTGCATTCCAGAGCATTTTGGCTTTTGGAATATTAAACTTGGATTTCTATTTAGTTTTTTACATTGTATAATATCTACTCTTTGACCTTATTGAGAGTAGTACTTTGTTGTGATTTTTTTTTTAAGTCATCTCTTGCTTTCACTTGGTTGCTACTTATCTATGATCCATGGGTCACTTTCTCTGTCACTGTGGACTCCTGGTCTCTCTGGTCATAGGGGAGACCTGCAGGTTGGATTAGTTGAGCAACTGGACTTCTTTCCTGCATCAAGATCATTGGAAACATTTATGTAACTTGGTAGATTTTTAAGCCACTATAAAGTTAGAATTTCTAGCATTAGTCAGTTTCCTGGTTCCCTCAGTGACTTATTTCTGTGATCAGTAATCTACCCCTGAAACTTCCCATTCTCCACTGCCCTTTCACTTATTTGTGTGTGTGTGTGTGTGTAGCTTCAGAGAAAGCAGAAATTACATTCTACTTTATATAAAGAAATGGGAGGCCAAGATATGCTATGTTTACCTTTTCTGGCTGGTAAAATTATTTTCTGACCATCAATAACTTTGCATTTTTAAAGTTGCTGTAACAAGTCATGTGCACACATCATTCATACAGCACATAGAATAATCGTCTTTCACTCCTACCATAATCTTTTTTTTTAAACCTGTTTGTTGTAAAAATTGTGTTGTAATAGCTTAACCTATTTGTTATAACCTATAATGTGAAATAATATGCTTGCTTTTCAGTGTCTTATCAACTTTAAGAAAAAAGATGAATTTAACTTCTCCTAATTTTTAAATTTTTCTTGGTTATTTTTCTAACTTTATTTAAAGTCTGTCCATTCTTGAACTCTCCCGTTAGTAGTGCTGAAAATTAGTCAACAGCACCTACAATATTATGCCCACCTGTGTGTTATTTCCTGCAGAATCATAGAGGAGGAGCTAGGCTCTCGGGACACTTTACTTACAGTACTCAACAGATGTTTCAGGCGTTTTGTTCTTTACCTGTTGTTTTACTCAGAAGCATATTATTAATAGATTTTTTCCTGTGTGTGTGTCATAGCTGACATGTATGCCTTTTTAACATTTTTTAAAATTGACCATCTTTTTATTATTTTCACTGCAAAACAATTTTTACCAAATCACAATAAAATAAAAAGAAAAAAGCTCTTGGAATCCTGTCATTTCAACAGATTAAACCATTTTCATTTTTAAAACTTGCACTCAGCCTTTGTATCCATATATAACTTGTGTATCAGTGGATATTTTTCTTCATGGTTCTTAGCATTTCTGATTACTTTTTTCCCTCTCGCTGTGGAGAGAAGAAGCCTGCACTTTCTTGGCTGTGTGTTGTGTCTCCCAGCTTGTTCACACTGTGCCGAGCGCTCTGATGTGCTTCTAGGGTGGCAGCACGCTGTCATCCTTGAGTTTCTCTTCCTTGTACTCGTAGGTTAGTTCTGGCTATTTATTCCTGGATCTCTGTTGTCATCTTTCTTTTGTTCCCTGTTTTGCTTTAATACCTTAAGTAATTTATTCATAAATGGTGCATGAAAGTTGAACTTGGAGTCCTGGCGTTATTTACCCATTCAGCAGACAGTTTGTCTTTTAAGGTGTCATTAGAATTTCTGCCATTCTCCACCAGCTCCTGTGTACTTTTATGAATGTTTCATCTCCTGTTTCTTTGCCCTGTTTTGCCACTGACTTCACCTGGAAGCCTCGTCCCCCTCTGACCTCCTCCACTGAGAAATCAAGGCTATCTATTTACGCTTTGTTTTCTTCACTTTCCTTCTTTTAGTACTCTCCTCTTATTACTTGTGTTCTTCCTTTTTGTCTCAGTGAAGGTATCACATTCCTGCTCACGGCTAATTTTGTCCCTCTGTGCTTTGCGTCTCCATTGCCTTGTCATCTTTATATCTCCTGTATCCTCAGCCTTTTACTATATATTTTGATATTTATATACAGTATTTATGTATACCATATTATGTAATATATATATATATCAGTTCAGTTCAGTTGCTCTATGGTGTCCGACTCTTTGCAACTACATGGACTGCAGCATGCCAGGCTTCCCTGTCCATCACCAACTCCTGGAGCTTGCTCAAACTCATGTCCATTGAGTTGATGATGCCATCCAGCCATCTCATCCTCTGTCGTCCCCTTTTCCTGCCTTCATTCTTTCCCAGTGTCCGGGTCTTTTCCAGTGAGTCAGTTCTTTGCATCAGGTGGCCAAAGTATTGGAGCTTCAGCTGTCATTGTTTCCACTGTTTCCCCATCTATTTGCCATGAAGTGATGGGCCCAGATGCCATGATCTTAGTTTTTTAAATTTTGAGTTTTAAGCCAGCTTTTTCACTCTCCTCTTTCACTTTCATCAAGAGGCTCTTCAGTTCCTCTTCGCTTTCTGCCATAAGGGTGTTGTCATCTGGGTACCTGAGGTTATTGATATTTCTCCCAACAATGATGATTCCAGCTTGTGCTTCATCCCGCCCGGCATTTCACATGATGTACCCTGCATACAAGTTAAATAAGCAAGATGACAATGTACAGCTTTGATGTAGTTCTTTCCCAATTTGGAACCAGTCTGTGTTCCATGTCCGGTTCTAACTGTTACTTCTTGAACTGCATACAGATTTCTCAGGAGGTAGGTAAGGTGATCTGGTATTCCCATCTCTTTAAGAATTCTTCACAGTTTGTTGTGATTCACACAGTCAAAGGCTTTGGTGTAGTCAATAAAGCAGTAGATGTTTTTTCTGGAACTCCCTTTTTCTGTGATCCAGTGGATGTTGGCACTTTGATCTCTGTTCCTCTGTGTAATGCGTAATATGTGCTGGATGAAGCACAAGGTGGAATCAAAATTGCCAAGAGAAATATCAGTAACCTCAGATATGCAGAAAGTGAAGACAAACTAAAGAGTCTCTTGATGAAAGTGAAAGAGGAGAGTGAAAAAGCTGGCGGGAAACAGTGGCTGACTTTTTTTTGGGGCTCCAAAATCAGTGCAGATGGTGACTGCAGCCATGAAAGTAAAAGATGCTTACTACTTAGAAGGAAAGTTATGGCCAACCTAGACAGCATAGTAAAAAGCAGAGACATTACTTTGTCAACAAAGGTCTGTCTAGTCAAGGCTATGGTTTTTCCAGTAGTCATGTATGGATGTGAGAGTTGGACTATAAAGAAAGCTGAGTGCAGAAGAATTGATGCTTTTGAACTGTGGTGTTGGAGAACACTCTCGAGGTTCCCTTGAACTGCAAGGAGATCCAACCAGTCCATCCTAAAGGAAATCAGTCCTGAATGAATATTCATTGGAAGGGCTGATGGCTGAGTCTGAAGCTCCAATACTTTGGCCACCTGATGCAAAGAACTGACTCACTGGAAAAGACCCCGATGCTGGGAAAGATTGAAGGTGGGAGAAGGGGATGACAGAGGATAAGATGGTTGGATGGCATCACCGACTCAATGGACATGGTTTGAGTAAACTCCGGGAGTTGGTGATGGACAGGGAGGCCTGGCGTGCTGCAGTTCATGGGGTCGCAAAGAGTCGGACACGACTGAGTGACCAAAGTGAACTGAACTGAATGCGTAATATATAAATGTTAGATATAAAGTGTGTATATTTAACATTTATATATTACGCATTATACAATTTTTTAACCTTAAAAGCAAAAATAAAAGCAGCTGTTCTTTCCTTCTACCCTGTGTCTCTTTTTAACTTTCAGTTTGTCTTTCCTTTCCAGCCAAGCTTTTGAAAGCTCATCTCCATGAATTGTTAGTATTTGTGATAGCAAATTCGCTCCCCAGCTAGCCTCGTCTGGGCTCTTGTTTCCTGCTCACTGCACTCACATTGCTCATTGATGATCTCAGTGCTGTCAAATCCAGTGAATGCTGCTCTGTCCTCGTTTTACTTGAGACTTTCAACACTGACTTTTTTTTGAAACGCCTTCTTTCCTCTGCTTTTCTGATGCTGTGTCGTGTGTGCTTCGCGTCTTCCTGCCCAAGCCTCTCTGTCATCTTGTTGGGTCTTCATCTGCCTGCCCTTTCAGTATGGACTTTACTCAGAGTTCTGATCTTAATTTTCTGATTACCTCCTTCACAGCCATGATTTCATCTCCTGCTTGGTGTGGATATTGTCTTAAATCTGATTTCTAGGCCATTGTTTTTGAGTGCCTGGCCCAGTACTTGTATTAGGTTGTCTCACTGATGCCTGGGATACAACTTGTACCTATTATATGATAGATCCTCACTTAATATCTGAATGAATGTTTTGAATATGGGAAATCAATGGCTCTCAATTTTTACTGTATGTGTCTGTTTAATAAGATGCTGAAAAAATGCTTATTTAGAGCTCATCCAACCTCTTTTCCTTCTTTTGTTGTTATTTTACTGAGTCATGATGCTATTGTTTTAGGCAAGGAGAAGAGAAGGAAGTTTCAGTCTGTTTTTGTTGCTGTTTCTTAATAGCTCTTATTGAAATTATGGGAGGAGGGTTCTCAGAATGAAATAAGTTAGCTGTGAATTTAATTTACCAGTGCATTCCAAAATCCCTTAGTGTCAAGGATAATAGGATTGGAATGTTTTTTGCCCATTTTTTTCCTCGTGGATTATAATCCCCTTCCTTCTCTCTCTCTCTCTTTTTGCAAGGAGAGGGGTTTGGCAAAGTGTTTGTGGGAAGAGGGAGTTGGTGATACTTGTGTGTGATGGAAATTGATGAGAAACTTCTCTTCATGTCATCTGTCGGTTTGTAGAGGTTGGCACTGGCCAGGTGTTGTGGTGACAGGTGCTAAGCAGGCACTCAGTTAAGAGGTAAATGCTAAAGGGCTGGTGTCATTTTCAAATGAATTATTTAATTATAGGCAGAGGGTATAGATGTTTTACAGTGTGCTCTCAGAAGCAGAATAGAATTTAGCTTCGCATGAGGCGTTGTAAATGCACTTATCCATTCTGATATACTGGAAACTAACATGAAGTCCTAAAGAAAGAATTAGCTACTTTAAAAAGTTCTCAATTGATGTTTTTGCATTTTTTGTAATGCTTGCTTCCAAAACATATGCACAAACATATGCACACACCCAACCAGCCAATTAACAGCCCAGAGGTCAGAGGGAAAAACAGTGGATTAGGGCCAAGGGACCTGGGATCCATCTCTGTCTACTGTGCTATGTTTCTCTTAGTTGTAAGGTGAGGATTATATCTGTATCCCTCAATAATACCGAGAGGGATAAATATTCTGAGTTCATTAGAAAGGAAGCCAGTGTGAATATCCCCTCGTCCTACTAGAAAGGTGATTGATAATGGCTTAAATAGCCACCATTACCAACTGTGAGAATAAAGTTTGAGTCTTGAAATAGAAATGGTTTGAAATGCAGATTTTTATGTGCAGCTACTATTTTGACAACCTAATCATTCCTTCTTCCTTTTTAGGCTTTAGAATCCAAATTAGCAGCTTGCAGGAATTTTGCAAAGGACCAAGCATCACGAAAATCCTATATTTCAGGGAATGTTAACTGTGGGGTGATGAATAGCAATGGCACGAAGTTCTCTCGATCAGGGCACACGTCTTTCTTCGACAAAGGGTAAGTTTTGGAAACTCTAAATGTTAATTTTTGGGTTAGTGAAGTTGCGTATTATTAAGTGAGTTTATTGAACTTTGAAAAGATAAACTCAGTTTGATAAATCTACCTGAATGAAGTGTTATCATTCAGATCTTAGGGGATGTGAAGTCTGTTACTGTCTTCTAGTCCCCATGGAGTCTGTTGCCCTGGGCACCCTGACTCTGAAGCTTCTATCCTGGGAAGCAGACTCTTGAAAGGCAGCCAGGGATTAAAGATGAATGTGATATGGTCCTTGTGTTTGCTCAAGGTGATTGCAGAATGGTAGACTCTTGGCAAATATTTGCTAAGAGTAGAAGAGAACATGGTGATCACATTATGTGTGAACTCTTCAACAAACCTTCTGTCTGAGGATTTTAGAAAAATATAAGACCACTGGATACAAGTACAGTTTAGGACATAAAAAGTTTTGTAGGATGTGAAGATATTTTTGGGGGAATTGAGAATTAAAAAGTTGTCATAAGATTAAAGCAGCAATACATTATTAATGCAGAAAAATTTTGGGGGCAGAATATATAAAGTAAAAATACATGTCATCTGTTTTCACACTATTTTCTCTTCTTTACAGTTATTCATGCATTCATCTATATAGTTAAGCACGTAAAATCATCTTTTGTATCTGCTCTGCTTTTAAAAACTTATGAGATACCTTAAATACTGCTCGCAGCATGCCTGTGGTGACTGATACTGCCAGTAGCTTTCTGTGTCAGTACATATTGTTCTACTACAATTAAAGGAAAAAAAAAACAAACCCACAAAACACTGCGTGGTTATACTGTTGTATGGGTGTGCCTTAGTCTGGGTAACTGGTTAGAGCCTGTGGTCTTGAATGTTGACCTTGTGACTTAAGGTGGCTGACAGTGGAATTAGCAGCTGAGGCACCAGTGGTCTGTGTCTTTGCTTTGAGTTAGAGGGGCCACAGGTCCTTGTTCTGTGAAAGCAATATAGAAATCTTCATAGTTTCTTAAAGGAACTTATATTTTCTGTTTTCCTCAGTGACAGTGGTACATTTGTAGAGAAACTGATTTTTTTTAAAATTTATTTTATATTGGACTATAGCCTATTAACAATGTTGTGATAGTTTTAGGTGGACAGCAAAGGGACTGCACCAAACATATACATACGTCCATTCTCCCCCAGTGGAGGACCTGATTTGATAAGTAGTCCACTCTATAAAGGTTTCTGTTGTTCGTCCTTGTGAAGTAGAGTATTCTGGTTTCTCTCTCTCCCTCAATAATTCTACCTCAAAGTACGTGTATTTCATTAGGGAGCACATTCTCAGATAATATATAAATCAGGGCTTTCTTTACACACATTTCATTAAAAGCCCATTCTATAATGTCAACACACATATAAATCAGAACTTTATTTTAACCATTGGGGCTCCCCAGTAGTGGTTGGAATAAAATTAATATTCCTTAGGTTTAGGAGTTTCAGGCAACCTTGAGGAGTGCCATTTTTATACTATAATGGTAAGAGTGAAATTAGAAGGTAGATATATTTACATTAGAGGTGGCATTTCCCCAGAACAATACAGGGAAAGTTTAAGGAAGTCTTCATGAGTGTTGGAAATAGTGCCTAATGGTTTTTCCTGGAGCTTATAACTACTTTGTCTGTCAGTTATATTTCTTAATGGGCCTTGGGTCCCTTGTGATGTGAGAACAAGCAAAACCGTAAATAGATTGGTCCAGCAGATATTTGCAAAAATAATAGTCCTTAGAACAGTCATGACGAAGGAGGTATAATATCAGTTCAGGCTCACCATTCTGTCTTCTTACCAGGGCAGCGATTGCGCAGAGAGGAACCCTGTCTAGGCAGATGGCAGAGGATTCAGGGTCACCTGAAACCATGAGGGGCCCTGGGCACTGTGACAGAGCCCCTGTCCCCTGAGGAGATCCTAGGTGTAGGATAGGCTTTGTGTCCTGAACTGAACCTAGAAATATGGTTCTTCATAGAAATAGTTAGAGATGATGATTAGGATTGTGGAGGACTTGATTAAATAGTACAGAGTTTTAATTTTATTCTTTCTATTAAGAATAAATATTTTTTGTGGACTGGCCTTTTCGTAAGTGTTGAGTTTGTATGGTAAACAGATGGCACATGCACACTCAAATATGAACCTATTGTTGCCCGAGTTGTGTGTATCTAGTTGCCGTCTTCCTGAGGATAACTCTTGGGTGGGTTTTGCAGTGTTCTTACTTCCTTGATGCTTTGCTTTGATTCTGGCTTCCTTTTGGCCGGCCTGGCTTTTTACCTCTGGCCTTCCTTCCTGCTGACCTAGCGACTAGATAAAAACCATGATGGCTTATACCTGTTGGAAAAGGAAGGGGTAAATATCCCCACTCCCAACTCCATTATTGCATCTGACTGGTTGAAAGAAAAAGTGCCAGTTCTGGTAAAAGCGTAGCTTGTAGTTTCAGCTTGAGAAGAAGCTTCCATTGGAGGAAAAGCCTTTGGCTCCGGAAGTTGCCTGGCATGCCTTTCACTCCTAAGGAGTCTGTGGCACTGTTAACTGTAGTTTTCCTGACGCTCCTAGGAGCCCACAGAAGCATTGTTTGGGAGAGTTGGTTTGCATGAGTGTGCAAGTATGTGAGTGTATGTGTATGCACTGTGCCCTCCTGCCTCCCACAGAATCCTCAGATGGGTGAGTCTTGGCCACATAAACATAAAGCTGCCTTGTTATATATTGCTTTATGGGTTCTGAAAATATTGTATAAGTTCTGCTTAGTGGAGGGCTTCTTGGAGTCACGATTTTGTCTAGTCTGTGTTCATGTCACCAGTTCCTAAAATGTGGGTCTCTGGGCCTGTTTCTCCCTGTGTTGCTCTGCTTCTTCCAACCTGTACCAGCTCTTCACATCACTCATCCATAAAGACACTAGTTCACAGGTAGCACAGCTACTTGAGTTCCCCCCAAAATGTTCATTTTCCTCCGTAGCTTTTATTTAGTTTCTTATATGCCCTAATTTTGTAAGCTAGCGTGATTTCTTTCAGGCTGTGTGTAGGCGAGCATAGACTAATTTTAGGGCATAATGTGAAAATAGTATTGTATTACTGTTTAATGTTTTTTCCTTTTTTTATTAGGCAAGAAAAAGTCATATTTCCCACGTTGTTCATGGGTAACTGAATTTCTTTGCTGTGCTCTTTCATTCTTAATCATGATGTGTGGTGGAAGACGCATACACATTAACAGACCGGGTTTACTAACTGCATGGTGCTGACTCTGCTTTAACCAGCTTCCAGCCCATGAGTGAACGAACGTTCAAGTTCTTGTTTGGTTTGACTGTGTACATTATTATTAGTTTAGCTGTGCAAACAAAAACAAGTGAATGGTAGTGGTCTTGGGGCGGTTGTCAATGGGCTGATGTACTCCTGTACACGGTGCTGTAGAGAGGATGCCAGCAGTCTGGGGTGGGGGTCAGGGTCACTGCCAGGCTCTGGGACCACATTTGACTGCCTCCATGGACCTGGGGTGCTTCCTATTATCCCGTGTCTTCTGTTTTCTCAGCACTGGTGATAGTGGATTCTTGCTGTGTGGGGCCTCTCCTCTGTGCTCATGCTTATGTTCCCCAGGACAGTGGAGTGGTAGCTAGGGACACGTGTGTAAAATCTACCTTCCTTTTGAGGAATGTATGTTTCAGTCTGCAGAGCCTGGGCTGAGGACTGGAGCTGCGCTGGGCTTCCATTTCTCCTAACTGGATGGACGGGTCTGCAGTGTGCCTGTCTGCTCTCCTGAACTAGCTGTAGCGCCTCTGTTCCTTGTCTTTCCTGCCCTCTCAGGTGAACTGTCCTTGCTCTGGCAGATTTAGTCCCCGGGCTTTATCTATATTGTGTTAATTTTATTGTCCTCCCAACTAGCTACTAAACCCTTCTTTCAGTTCTTCTGTTGCCATTTACATCTGACCTTCATTCCTTGTCCTAGCTGGATTTTCTATTTTTCAGACTCTTAAACTAGATTTTTGTGGTAAGATCATGAAATTTCATAGCTTCTGGAACTCTTTTTACATGATCATTCCCAGATCTGTATCTCCATCCTTTCCCGTTCTTTCTCGTTCGGTCTTGTGTTGTCCACTGGGACATTTCCCTTCGGCTTTTTTGCTGCTCCCTGAGACCAAATGTGGTGAGTATGGAGGTGTTTCTTCTCTCAGAAACCTTTCCTCCTTGCATACTTTGCACTTCCCTCAAGGGACTTCAGACTGAGAATTCTCCCTCTGGGTTCAGCTTCCTTCTGGTCTTTTACTTACTAGTTCTTGATGCAGAGAGGTCCTAGGGAGGACCCTGCTGGATTGTTCTCTCTTCCACCCAACTTTCAAAGTCAGAATATTTCCAGCCACATAGAGAAGCTACTTACTTAGTTTCTTGGTTTCTTTTCATATTTTGGATATGTATATTTTTCCTATTAGAGCTGACCTGCATTGGGAGCACCAAGTTGGTTGCTCTTGGAGCTTCTCAGATGTGGGAGGAGGCTGGAAAAGGATGCTGGCCTGGTTATGTGGAGGCAGGTTGTGGGCCCAGGTCCCCAGTGACAGGCTCATGGGGTAAACTTGGTGAACAGTGGACCTTCTGCTTTTATTTCCTTGGCAGTATAACAGTGAGGATGAACTTGACATTCCTTAAAGTTCCATTGCGCTTGAAAATGCAGAAATCTCAGTTCTAAGCCTACATGTGGAGCCATCCTCAAATTTGTTGCTTTTGCCTGCCCTGTGGAACAGAGAGGTTCTTCTCGGCACCCAGCAGTGCTTCCTTCTGCCGAGTTTTGGGGGTTGTCTCTAGCCCTGCCTGCTGCTGTGCTCTGACAGGCTGGGAATCTGATGGTCAGTGTTCAGGGTTGAGCTCTTTGTGAGGCTGCCTAGTTCTCCCTAAGGTTCTAGGAGAGGCAGGCTCGGGGACCAGGCAGACATGGCTGCTTCTGCGAGCGCAATAATGGCATATAGAGTCTCTGTCCTCAGAAAAGAGGCACAGGCATTTAGTCTTGGGAGGATGGAGAGGGATGATTTCAATTTCAAATGTGATGAAGCTCAGAGATCAGACCTCCCCAGCCCAAAGAGATAAGAGAAAATTCTGAGTGTGCATTGCTGAGGTGGGGGGAGAGAACTCTTGTCAGAGCCCCTCCCATTGCTCTTGGCCTGTGTGGGAGGCTTGATTTTTAGCTCGAAATCTACACACAGGTTAGTTTCTTCAGAGTAGTCAAGGGTCATTAATCCAATCTCTTTTCATGCCTGTTTCTCCATGAGATTATCCTCACCTCCACAGTGTATGAAACTGTCATCTTCGTGGAGAATATGTGTCTGTGTTTTGTTTAAGAGAATCTCTGTTCATGAGTCTATATTCAACTCCCTGGGCCCCTCAGATGAGTAGGTCGGTGCGGACAGTGGTGGGCACGTGTGGGGCAGTCCGGCCCCTTGCTGTTGGCTGCATCTCCCAGGCTGTGAATGAGACCCATTTCCCTAGGAAGTTTTTCAGTACGGAAGGGCTGCAGTGGCTTCCTGAGAGGGGGTTCCAGGCCTTGCACTCACTCCCTCACTCCTTCCTGCAGCTGCACTGCCGGGGGTGGGGCAGGGTCCTGGCTGCGGGCACTTGTGTGGGCAGGGCTGTTGTCTCCTGAGCCTGCAGAGAAGCCTCCCCGTCTGGCTTGCTTGCTGAACCATCTAAAAAAGTTATTTTTCTCCCCCTTACTTAAGATATTCATGTACATTGCAGGAGATTTGGAAAACAAAGAAAGTACAAAGTAGTAGATAAAATTTACCTACAACTCAGAGGGAAGAAAAGTAACTACTGTTAAATTTTCCTTTTATGATATATGTGAGTGTGTGTGTATGTGTGTGTCTGCATCCTCAAACATGCTAGATTTAGCTCTGTGGCTAGCTATATAAGGGGTTATAGCCCGGAATGTATGCTGTTAATTTTTTTCTTCATATTGTTGAGCATATCCAGTTTGGTAACCTGCTGCTTTTTACACCTAGCATTAATTGCATTCGGAATATTTTTCATGCTGTTAAGTACTCTGAAATGTATTTTTAAGGGCCGTGTAATATTTCACTGTTTGGTTGTACCCTTTTTAGCTGGTTCCCTACTGGTAGACATTTAACCTGCTCTGTTGGGAAGTGAGTCAGGGCTGCGGCCACCATGGCCAGTGTGATAAGGTTGCCAAGAAGAGAGTCATCCCATTGCTGGGGGACTGCGGGGTGCTTGACACCATGCTCTCCTTTGGGCCATCAGGATTCTCCTTGGGGCCAGGAAGAGGAATAGTTGAAGAGAGCAGATGAATTATGCTGTGTGTCGAGTGATTTTAAATGACAGTCTCTTTCTCTTCCCCTCCCCTTCTCTGCTCTGGTCACCCCCGCAGGGCAGTAAACGGCTTTGACCCGGCTCCTCCTCCTCCTGGTCTGGGCTCCTCGCGCCCGTCGTCAGCACCGGGTATGCTGCCGCTCAGTGTGTGAGTGCCCAGCCTCCAGGTGGGGGCTCCTGCCCCCCTCCAAGCACCAGGACACCCACGCCTCACCCCTCGGTGCCTGGGCCCAGCTCGTGCCCCTCCGCCTGCCTCCCCACGGCTGGCAGAGGGCAGGCTGCATGCAGTGGCGGCTGCTGGGCTCGGTCTGGCCCCAGGACTCTGCGCGATATCAATACTGGCTATTTTCTCTTCTCGCCGTAGTGCCGTTGGTTTCACATGATTGCACTTTTGTGGGTCACAAGGTGATACATGCGTGTATTACTCGGTCACTGGATGCAGAAGTACCCATTCATCATAGCATCTCCTAGCCCCGCCCTGCTGTACTGATAGGATTTAGTTGTGTTTAGGACATTGCAGATCTTCTAGAAGTTCTTCCTCAAATCAGGTCAGCTTGTGGTCTCCTCCTGAGCTCCCAGCCAAGCGCCTCCAGTGCTGATGATCATGTGTCCCCCTTCCCCCCGGGTTGGGCCTGTGGCTGGTGGAGAGTCAGGAAGGCCACTGAACTAGGGAGCATTTTCTGCACCTTCTGGTTTTACTTTCTCAGTTACCATTCCGTAGACTTGCCTCCCCGAGCAGCCAAAGGCCCAGCTGAGATAGCAGGAGCTTTAGGGCCTGGGTGCTCTCAGGGCTGGGCCCTGCCGTCTCCTCCTCCACTGCCTCAAACTTGGGGGCGGGGGTGGCGGCCGCCCCCTCGGCAGCTCTCTGGTCCTTCAGTGAAATGACATCTTCAGAGTGCTTTTGTTTGGTCTCCAGAGGGCCTGTCCCGTTGTGTCAGGAAGGGTTGCCTGGCCTGATTCCGGGGGCCGGCTGGCGCCAGCTCCAGGGGGCAAACTGACCATGAGTGGTCCTCCCTGTGCATCCTTTGATTACTCTCATGCTGCATTTACTGTTTACATTTGTTTTATTGTACATAGGTTTGTAAACATTATTGCCTAAGATATTTGTATATAACTTGGGCTTTGTAGCTTTTATTTATTCAGAACTCATATGGCATGTTAAAGACTTACGATGGTGTCCTACTCCGGGCAGCTGTATAGAGTCATCATGTGGTTAAAAAAAATACTTCCCTTCGAAAAAATCTTTTAATGTGGAAACAATAAATTTCACAGAAAAAAATAAAAGGATTGAGGTTGCTTTATTGGGTTTCTGCCATCCTGCGAGAGAAGAGCCGGAGTGGCAAAGCCAGTTTCCAAGTTCACGTCCATTCTGACACGGGACACAGGATGGACAGCAGCCATGGAACCGGGCATAGAAAACTCTGGCAGCCTCGGGATGTGTCTGATGTGCTGAGCGGATGTCTTCATGCTGATTTTTATCTTTTTTTTTTTAATTGAAGTATGGTCCAATTTTACACAAATTACAGGTATATAGTATGGTGGTTCACAGTTTTTAAAGGTTATATTCCATTAATAGTTACTGTAGAATACAGGCTATATTCCCTGTGTTGTACAATACGTCCTTGTGGCTAATTTATTCCTCAGGATGACTCTGGGTTCTGGTTTCTGCTCTTAGCTGTGATTTCCAGGAGCAGCCTGAGAATGGCCCCAGCCCTGTGCGGACCTCTGGGAGGAAGGGCCTGGACTTTGAAGGAGACGACTTGCTAAGTCCTGGAGTAACTGCAGTGGGTCCAGGAGACTGGTCCTCTTGTTGGGCTGCCTTTCACACAGCTGGTATTCTGGGATCAGAGGTTACTTGGGTCTGGGTTTCTCTCCTCATCCCTTGATGGAATTTGAGGAGCAAGTAAACTCTGGAGGTCTGTATGACTGTGTCAGATTCTGAGCTCTGTTTATAGCAAAGAGCATAAACAATAGTTTTTGTCATTTTTAAACTATATGTAAATGAAAACTAAGTGATTCCAGTTTCTAAGTGAATAAACATTGAGGTGTAGGATACATTAAAATTTTTTTCTTCTGTCTGTCAGTTCGCCGGCAGGAATAGCTTTTCTGAGTTGTTCCTGGAGATTTCGTCATAAGCTGACCCACGAGAGATGCTTGCTCTTATGTGTGTGTGTGCTCTGCCCAGCCCTGCTGGCTGAGAGTTGAGAACTTCAAGCCTCTCACCAATGAGCAGTCTCCCAGCTTCTCTCCCGGCCATCATGGAAGAGTTGGATGAGGTCAGAGGTGTCAGAACTCTGTCTCTATGCAGGAGCCCCACATCTAAAGCACACACACAGAGCTGCTCTAGTTAAAGCGAGGATGAGTTCTGGAGCTTGAATCCTTGTCCCTGGCTCCCCGGCAATGTCTGAGTTCCTCCCCAGCTGTGGACTCCTGGGATTATCTCACCAGATGGCTGTCAGTTGTTACTCAGGCAGCAGCTGGGAGTGGGGCCTGTGTGTTGTTCTCTGATGTCACCACTTTTGCTTTGGGTCCAGGAGAGTACAGGCCAGGTCTGTGAAGGCATGGTGGAATAGGCTGCCTGGCTCACTTTGTGGGGGTGGAGTGGGAACTCCCTTGAAGTTCTGATTTTGTTACAACTGCAGCACCTTTGGCACATGACCCCCTGAAGAAGCTGCTTGATTCCCTGGGCTTCTTTCAGCGTTCCAGGTCTTCCTCCACTTATAGTGGGACAGTGTTCTGATAATTCCATTCATTGTAAATTGAAAATGCATTTACTACATCTAACCCCTTGACCATCACAGCTTAGCCCTGTCTACCTTAAACATGTTTAGAACATTTAAATTAGCCTACAATTGGGCAAAATCATCTAATACAAAGCCTGTTTGACCATAAAGTGTTGGCTGTCATATATAATTGAATACTGTACTGAAAGTGAAAAATGCAACGGTCATCTGGGTGCACAATGGCTGTCATCATATCTATCATGTGACTGACTGGGAACTGCCCGGCCAGTGTTGTGCGAGAGGATCGCACTGTGTATTGCTAGCCTGGGAGAAGATGAAAATCTAAAATTTAAAGTGTGGTTTCTATTGAGTGTTTTGCTTTTGCATCATGGTAGAGTAAAAAAAATCTTTAAGTCAGACCATTGTAAGTCAGTGACCATTTGTATCTGGCTCACGATGCTGCTTTGTACACGCTCACATAGAGCCTTTGCTTCCTAGTCTGAAAGATCTGCGTTATTGTTTGCCTATCTACTTAATCTTCTCTGAGTGGGCCCTCCTCCTAGCGCTGCACATTGCCAGTGTGTGCAGCTCTCACAGAAACCTTCAGGAATGAGCCCTCCCACGGGCTGGTTCCATGTGGTGGTCTCCCCCTCGTGGGCGTGGAGGGGCTGAGCTTCCCGGTGGCCAAGGACATCCCTTGTTCCTGACATGTCATCGTCCTGCTAGGTGCCAGAGCTGGGGTGTGGAGTCACCAGTGAGGCAAGGGAGAGCTATATACTGTGACCCGGGAGCGGGATGAGCTGGTTTTCCCTCAGTTTGCAGAAGGGAAAGCGGGCCCAGGGTTTAGGTGACTGGTCTGAGCTCACACAGCTGGTTCATGGGAAAGCCAGGTTTGGAAAGGGGCGCAGTGTCCTTTTCTGCTATGTTTACCACTTCATCAGACTGGAGGCTTCGCTGGTCTTGACTCTGACTTGTGTCTCAGGAGGTGAGCTGATTCTGAACGCTTGGAAGTGATACTCGAGGGGGCTGCAGCAGGAGCACAGTGGCTCATGGCTCATCCACACGCCTCCTCTCTCCGTGTCAGTTGGCGTTGGCTTTGTTTCTCTCAGAGGCTGCCTTGGAGCTGCCATTAGCATCTTCTGAGAGCCACGGTGGAAGCTGGCACTTCTGGGGAAGGGACCATGAGGACGTGACCTTGGGTGGAGCAGTGGCTTCGGAGACAGCCTGTAGCCAGGGAGTATCCAGGCTGGCCGCTGGTGGGAACAGGGCCTGAGGGAGATGGGCCCAGGCTGTCAGTTGTCCGCATCGTTTGCACAGAGGATGCTAAGATTAGTCTTTTCTATGTTCTTTTACTTCATGGGTTGTTTTTCTCTCTCTATTTGCCTCAAAATTTGAAGCAAATTGAGAGCACTAGCTTGGCCTTAAATGTGTTACTTGATTTTTAAAAAAAAATGAGAGCGGAGGCAGGAGGCATCTTTGCAAATCATGTTCCTGTGACAGAGCATCTTATCTGAAAACAGGTCCCGTGGCTGTTAAAAATATGATACACGGGGATGTGTGTGTGTGTTAGTCGCTCAGTTGTGTCCTACTCTGAGATCCATGGACTGTAGCCCACCAGGCTCCTCTGTCCATGGGATTCTCCAGGCAAGAAATACAGTAGCCCTTAAATTTTTTTTTATTTTATAATTTTATTTTATAATTTTATTTTTGGCTGTGCTGGGTCTTTGTTGCTGCTCATGAACTTTTCTCTAGTTGGTGAGCGGGGCTACTCTTTACTGTGGTGCATGAGCTCTAGGGCGTGCAGGCTTTAGTGGTTGCGGCAGGTGGCTCAGTAGTTGCAGCTCCCACTCTTAGAGCACAGGCTCAGTAGTTATTGTACATGGGCTTAGTTTCTCTGCAGCATGTGGGATCCTCCCAGATCAGGGATCGAACTCATGTCTCCTCCATTGGCAGGCAGAGTGTTTACCACCGAGCCACCATGGAAGCCCCTTTTTTTGACTTTAAGGAGGAAAAGTCTCTAGTAATATTAATGTAACAGGCTTCTTATGTAAGATAGCACACGTGAAGAGGCCAATTTGAAAACAGGACAAAGCTTATGGTGTTGGTGTTATGCACATGGGGTAATGCTTTACTCTGCCACCCGCCTGCACCCACAAGAGTTAGTGTTTCCTGTCAGCTCTGAAGTCTTCACCAAGGGAAGCTGAACAGATGTTTCACTTGTTCACTTGTGGGGTGTTTTCAGTTTTGCTGCCTCTGTTAACATAGGGGAGATCCTGCCTGGATCATGGTTTGCAGGCGGAGGCCTGGGATAAGGGTGCTGGGCTGGCAGGCCTGGGCAGGTTTTCTGGCACATGCCTGGATCAGCAGTGATGTCATGTGAGGCTCAGAGCCTAAATTACCCTCTGTAAGTCTTGAATCAATCTGACAATGTGACAAGCTGTAACAACTTCTCGACTGTGGTAGTAAGAACAAAGTCAGTCTCTGTAGCCCTAGTACAAATGTCTGCTGGTGGGGGAATGGAGTGGTTAGGATAACCGTTCAGCTGGACAAGCAACCGTGGAGCCACTGACCTGTAAGTCTGCGGTCGTGCTCATCCATGCATCAATAAGTAAAGGACACAAAATCGATGAACGCGCAGTTGCAGCTTTCTAAAACAGAAGTGAAGTGAAAAGACGGACTAGTTTTACTCCGTAGATTCTAAATTTTCCTGTAAAGTGGCCCAAATTTTTTAAAAGTTGAAGTCATAAGACTGAATTTCTTTCACTGGAGACGTGTTAGGAGTTGTGAGATCTGAGTAAGCAGCACAAAGCAGGGGCTTCCTGGACCTGCCAGGTGACTGGGCTGAGGCCTCCAAGGGGAAATTTGACCACTCACTCAGATGCCCCCAGGCTCCACCCCAGAACTGCCTAGTGAGGAGAGTTCTGAATTTCATGGACACTGAAGTGCCAGCAATTATAAGACACACCTTTATTTTGTGAAGTAGTAGGAAAAGTGTGCAGTTGTAAGTGTGTAATTGAAAATGCTTAAGACTTTGTATTTATGTTTGGCTGTACTTGTTGTTGCATGGGGTTTCTTCAGTTGTGGAGTGTGGGCTTCTCATTATGGTGGCTTCCCTTGTTGCAGAGCACGGGCTCTAGAACTCAGGTTTCAGTAGGGGCTTTGCGGCTCCACGGCATGTGGAATCTTCCTGGATCAGGGATCAAACCCATTGTCTCCTACATTGGCAGGCGGATTCTTACCCACTGAGCTGCTGGCAAAGCCCCAAGACTTTGTATTTATTTAAAGACTTCTTTATGCAGATTTTCATCATATCACACTTATTTAATTCATGTACAAAAAGGAAAATGAGACATATTCCTAGACTTCACATTGTAATTCTGATGTTCTGAATTGTGTCTTGACCCGAGTGGTCCTTGTCCATGTTTTCCTGAGCAATGTTGTCCTCTGCGGCACGGTGAGCACTGACCGTGCAGCTCTGCTCCACTGCAGGCTCCAGAACTTTCTTCGAAGCTGCTGATACTCTCACTACAAGATCTGATGCTGGGCTTTAATGACCTCACCAGGAGTCAGGCAATTACAACCACATGACAGCTGCCACTTCCTGAAGGTGATTGTGGGGTGCCTGAGTTTACACAGGTGAGAACAGGAGCATCTCAGCTTCCGTATGGTATGGTCCTTGATAGAGGCAGCAGTCTGCTCGGATGTCCCAGTCAGATCCAGTGTTTAATAGTCTGATTATGACATATTACATCTTGAGTAAGTTTCATGACATCCAGTTAGTGGGCATGGAGTCTATTATTGGGCTTCTTTGAAAAAATAAACAGGCCTCACTGCTGTAATGCATCAAACGTGAGTTTGTAGTCTTGGTTTAAGGCTTGGGGACATGATCATACTTTGTACATGTGGTACACATACACTGTAATTATAGTGATCATATTTTGTGCATATGATACATGGATGCTGTAATTACAATAATCATACTTTGTGCATGTGATACATGGATGCTGTAATTATGGTAATCATACTTTATGCATGTACATGGACACTCTAATTACGGTAATCATGCTTTGTGCATGTGGTACACGGTGCTGTAATTAGGGTTAACATTCTTTGGAAACTGGTATTATGTCAATATACCCTTATCGATAAGTTTCATATTACATTTCTGAAAAGGGTTGTATGAGACATTTCACATGATTTGCTAGATTCCCAAATGACAGGTGGCTACACAAGGAGGTAGACTGCCTGGTTGGTCCTGATGGTGCACAGATGCAGCATTTCAGCAAAAGCTCAGAATTTGGGAAAGCTCTCGGGGCCGGGACTGGGAAACCTCTGTGGATGGGGACTCCCCTCAGCTCTCATCCATGGGCTTCCCTCAGGCCTGCCTGCCTGAACTAGGGTGCAAGGCTCCATTGTGTCCACTTTCTAGATTCCAACCCATGGGCTGTTGTGTTTTTTTTTTTTTTTTTTTTTTAGGGTGGAGCAGGAAGTGGTGGTTCCGAGTCTGAACTGTGAGCTCTTCCTGTCTTGATAAACATGTCTGTTGTCATAGCAACGTTGGCTTCAGGAGGAAATGGACATGAGTCAATGATACCCAGAGCCATAGGGAAGGCTGGTTGTTAAGAATTTGGTTTCCACCTCGTTTCATCTTAGTTGAGGTTTCCAGGGAGGGGGAAGAAGGTTGGTGAGAGAAACTGTGCTCGTCTTCCTGATGTCAGCATGCCTAGGATAGGCGGGCTGGGAACAGGTGTATTATTTCTACTAAAGTAAGAGTCTTCTAGAATGTCTGCATTCTAGGCAAGGGCAGACAGAGCATTTACAGTGTATGTGACCAAGTTAAAATCCTAAGAGAGCTCATCTAGACTGCATTCCACAAAAGGCTAAGACTTCTCCATGCATTCTGGAACCCCTCCTCCCATCGGACCGTGTGCCTGTGGGTGGGTGCTGGCCAGCTGCTTTGACTTTGACATGCCCGGAGCCCAGCTCCCAGCTATAGTGTAAGTGTTTCATGAACAGCCTCAGACTATGAAGCAGTGATTTGTTTAGTGAAGAAAGGTCCCGTCTAGTTAGCGTCTTTGTGGAATCAGGAATTGGAATCTGTTCATGTAGGTTGTGTTTCTCCTGACCGGCTGAGTAGTTGGGAAACAGTATGACGTGAACAACAGTTAAACCAGCTAGCAGGGAAGGAGTTTTTCACAAAAGCCTCTGAATTCCACAAACCCTTGGACTGAGACACCAAAAGCAAGGGTGAGAACGCATATGAGAGACGTAAGTGCAGCTCGCCTTTCCTCCTGCTAGTGACAGTTTTGAGAAAGGGAACACTTCAGCCCATTTTTCACATCCTCACAACTGCTAAGCAGCTTCAGTATGTACTTTAGACCACCAGAACAGCCTAACTAACTTGAGCATATCATAAAAAAACGCCAACATGGCTACATGACTGTGTTCCCCTAGATTTCTCTCCGGCCCATCCTATCTGGCCCACAGCTGCCCTTGGATCTCACCACCAAACCCTCCCAAAGCATTTTTAATGTGTATCCTGCCTGAAAATAGTCTGAAACTTCTTGGGCCTCTTGAAATACTCTAATCCAGTAATGGGCTTCATTGGACAATGAAACCCTCCTCTCAAGGCTTCATCCCACAGTCCTGGACCGCTCATCAGGAGAGCAGGACAGCTGCCAGCCTGCCCAGAGAACTCGCCCGTCACCTGACAGTTTCTGGGCGTGCGGTGCCCTCAGAACAAGCAGCCTGGCTATCAACACTGTAAGTCTACATAGCATCCAACCTCCAACCACATTACAGGTGGGGAATCGAGAACAGAAGGTGAGAAAACAGATTGCACATTCACATGATTATTCTTGTTTATTGAGGTCTGTTTATTCTCCACGGGTGCTTTTTCCTCCAAGTAAACAGAGCAGGCGTAATATCTATAATGAATAAATTTATTGTCTTACAAAAATCATTGTCTAGAAATATGGGAATACAAGAAAAGATATTTGCAGTCAGGTGTCTGGTGGTCAACAGCCAGTACAATTCATAAAGGGGGGAAAAAATCAAAGATTCCAAACCCACATGACAAATTCTTCCCAACAGATGTTAAAGCTTTTAACCCAAAAGGTTTGTGTTTTCAAGCACATTGCAGAGGATCAAGGATTTATAATTAACACTGATTCATTGTCACTGAATGTTTATAATACCACTTTGACTAGAGAGGTACATGATATGAAGCACAGTCAAAACTTAATACATTAAATTGTTACAGAGGCAAATAATATATTTAACATTGTCTTAGTACTGTAGTGTCTAAGGCACTTTCTGTAATGTCAGTTTGATTAACTATCAACCCAAAAGAGAATGCTAAATGTTTACTGTAACACTGTCCCGAGGGTGTGGGGAGGGAGAAATGAAAAAGGAGTCATCCACTGGCATGTCAACATTCAGGCGGGTGGCCTCTGTTCCCGAGGTGCTGTCCCCCTCACTGACAGACTTGAACAAGTCTCGGACACAAAACCAATCTTCCCATTTTGGGCTCAAAGCAGCGGCTGAATTTGCAAGGTCAGCATGAGAGCCTGGCTGGCGAGGAAGGGTGTCCCCCTAGCTTCTGCTCTGGGGGTCCTGTGGCTGCGAGGAGCAGGCCATCTAGAAGTCACTGTGATGGCTGCCCCTGGGCCTCAGCTGCATCATGGCCACTGTCCTGTCGGCACAGAGCAGCCCTGGCTGAAGACAGTTCACGTGAAGAGATGCGGGGACCCCACGACTTGAGGGAGAGGGGCACTGCAACCCCATGGATGCTGCTTCCCCCACCCCACCCCCCATCTCACTGAAGCCCCTTTCACAGTTTGCGCACTGAAATAGTGTCAATCATTATCTGAAGGAAATGAGAGCTACAGGTGCAGTTTAGGTTCCACAACGTTCTAAGGGACTTGATGTGGCTGCGGAGGCAGGGGCCACGTGAACACAGAACTAAGGTAGCTGTCTGTATGACAGAGCATGCAGAGCGATGGGGCGGCAACCGCTAGGTGGCCCCATGACCCAGCGACTGGCAGCGGGTCTGGCGTTTGTTTGAAAAAGGGTTCTCTTAATATGTATTATAAAATGGTCTCTTGGTGGATATATGGAAAATAGATGCAATGATGAGCCGATCTGTTTAATATGTGTAGGTTTTGTGTGTATATATATATATTTATATATAAAAAGGGGAGCAATTGTACCTAAATCTGAAGCAGGAGACGTGTGTGTAGGCCATGAGGCCTTAAGACACAGTTGATCTCTCAGGAAGGAGTCTCGCAGCTCGCCGGTTCCCCAGATCTGCAGGAGGCCCCGAGGCGGGGGTGCAGGTGACTTCCTGCATGTCCTGCGGTATCGCCTTCTCCGGCTTCCTTGGACTTACTCGGACTGTGGCGGCTGCGTCTCGTTGATGTCACTGGTCTTACTTTCTGTGTCGTCGTCTGACAGCTCCAGGGATGCACCCTCAATGTGCAGCTGGCGCCGGCCTGATCGACTGGAGGAGAAGCTGATTGGGCCGCCTCTCCTGGAGGGAACAGAAAGCAGGTGCATGTGGCCGCCAAGTTGTCCAACCACCTGAGGACTCAAACCTCCCCCCCAGGACACAGCCCCTGGGGTGGTGGGGAGATCTGAAGGGCTCTGTGCTTAGCCACCACTGCCACCCGCTGAGCATCATCCTGGGGGGTGTGGTGGCTGGCCCCTGTTGTCCCTCCCAGACACAGTGAGGAAAGCACCACCGGCTCATCCCCGGCCAGCTGCTCCCCAAAGGGCAGATGGAGAGGAAATGCTCTGTGTGGGCTTTGTGGGCCTCCTAACGTCTCTGCTGGTCTTTTTACAAACCTTTATCAATGTCGACACCACTCTTCGCATACAAGAGCAGAGCAGACAGGCTCCAGCCCATAGGCCACACCTGTGCTAAGCTGTCCTGGGGAGAAGCCTTGGCTTCCTGTGTCCTGGGGTGCATCAAGTCTGCCGTGGAGAGGCTGCCCCTGCCCACGAGGGACAGGGACAGACTCCTGGGCTGGCACACAAGCTTCAAGCCGTGCATTTGCACAGCCCCTGAGTAAACACAGAGCCAGTGAGTGAGTGACCTGTTGCTTGCCTGTTCTTCAGACCACCAATGGTCAGGAGTCCTGAATGGGTACATGCCAAGAAGGACCTGCATACATGGCCAAGAAAACCACAGTGTCTGGAGCCACTCACCTCAGCCGGTTCTTCAGGGTGCTGACCTCGCGGCTCAGGCCCTCGTTGGCCTCGGTGGCATCGTCCAGTTCCCGCTGGAGTTTGCGCCGAGATGCATTGGCACGTGTGGCTTCTTCCTCTGCTTCCTCCAGCTGCCGTTTGAGCTGTTTCATCCTGGCGTTGGCCTTCTCCATCTCGGGGAAGTTACAGGAACCGAGTCAAACCGCTAAATCCAAATTCGCATCGCTGTGTCCTGAATGTTTCAGCACAGGCCTCTGCCCCACTGGCCACATGTGTGCGCACACACAAGGGCCCGGCCTAAGGCCTTTTGAACAGCCTGCCATTCTCTGCTACACAGTATATTGAAAGTGAAAGTGAAGTCGCTCTGTCGTATCCGACTCTCTGCAACCCCGTGGACTGTAGCCTACTAGGTTCCTCCATCATGGGATTCTCTAGGCAAGAACACTGGAGTGGGTTGCCATTTCCTTCCCCAGCGGATCTTCCCAACCCAGGGATCGAACCTGGGTCTCCCACATTTAACCTCTGAGCCACCAGGGAAGCCCTTTAACACAGCATAAGGCTAAAGGAAACTTTTAAACAATTGAAAACCAATTTTCATCCCTGAGTTTTCTACAGAAAAGTGACATCTTCACATGAGTGATCTATGGAATTGTGAAAGGAAACTGCTATTGCTACAAAACACAGAAGAGCCAGCAACACATAGTCTCCACCCCCAGGAGATGGTGTATTCATTTTACACCTCCTTTCAACATGGGCATGTCAATATTCTGTGTTGATTTAAGTACCAAGCCACTCTGGAAAACCAAGTGAGAACTCGGCCTGCCACTGGCCCACTCACTCCTGAGCCACAGAAACTGGCCAATGTTCTGCTGGTCCAGTTCACACCCACCCAGAATTGCTCTCGGTGTTGCTAGGCCCTGGGGTGGGGAAGGGAGGATCTGGGCTAGAGGCAGTGAATCCTCAGGTCTCCCAGATGAGCGAGAGCACAGCCCCCCAGGCTGCAGCCAGTACAGAGCTGACACGCCCTGACACTTAGGAAACAGATGCCTGGACACAGACGAGGACCACTTGGGTCCCACGTGCAGTGCACTCGCTTTTTCTTCCCTTCCCACTACCTCCTGCATCTGCCCCTCCACCCAGCCAACATTCAGTGACTGCCAACTCCCAACTTTTCTAGGCATTCAGATGACAGTGGGTGAAACAGGCAGAAATCTCTGCACTCATGCAGTGTCCACTCTAGTGAAGGAAACATGGTAGTTAAGATCAGTTCAGGCCTCCCCACTTCAAGCCTTCCCCAAGGCTCTCGCCCACCCCTTCTTAATATGTATTATGGGCCAGGGCTGCATCCTAATCGCCTCTGTATCCCCAGCACGCAGGAGTGACCAGCAGGAACAAGAAACAGCATGTGTATTGAAACACTAGAAGTCAGAGTTTCCAACAGTTCTTCCTAAGTCAGCGAGTCACATAGTAAATGGCTGGTCTCGTATCTGTGTTCCTGTACAGCATTCAGGGTGGAAGATGTGTTCCTTTTATGTGCCTTCTCTCCTTACCTGTTCTTTATACTGGTCAGCATGGCGGCGTTCATCTTCAACCTGCATGAAGATTTCTTTCAGCTTCTTCTCGGTACGACGGACTAGTTTGTTGGCAGCGGCTCTTTCCCTGTGAAAATGATCAACATGCTCATTTTCACAGTTCTTGCAATGAAAATATTTTAAGTCCTTTTCTCTGGAAGATGACACACGTTAAGAGTGCTTTCCAGGACCCCTGTATCATTGTGATCGACATAGCCCAGAAACTGCTCCCTTCTGGTTGAACCATGGATTGCCTTTAACGTAGTCTAATGCTGACAGGCAGAACACCTGCATTATTCCCTCACATGGGTATTTATCATCTTAGTGATCTTCTGCAGATCAAAGGTCACTTACATCGAGTGTAGAGTTTTTGGAAATGAAAACCTTAGTTGGTTACTCTCATCACCTAACATTTTAGCCTGGAAAACAAAACACTCAATTTATTGATTGTTTCAATTTAAACTTACTTCCCACTGACTGAGATCCCCTGGAGGAGGGCAAGGCAACCCACTCCAGTGTTCTTGCCTGGAGAATCCCATGGACACAGGAGCCTGGCAGGCTAGTCCATAGGGTCAGACATGACTGAAGCGACTTAGCTCGTACCTACCAAGATGCTAGAGCAGCTGAACACTGAAACAACTCCCCCCACTTCAGGTAGGAGTCAAGGCACCATGTTCTAGACAGGCCTCCACTGTCCCATGTGAAGGAAGGAGAGTTAACTTGGAGAACTCCACTGAAAACACAAAAGGGTTTTTTGTTCCTTCACAAATGTTACGCAAAAATGGATAGGATGGAGCCAGCTGAAAGGGCCAAGTCATTATAACTAACAACAAACAAACCCTTAGCTGTTACATTTGAGAGCAGGGGGACAAAGTTCCAGATGCTAGGCTGGGGAGGACTCTGGGCATAGACCCTGTGTTTCTGGGCCCCCAAGCTCCTCAACAAGACGGTGAAGTTGAAAGTCTGCTCCAGCTCTGGCCGTCTGAGATTCTATTCTAATAGATATGTAAATGCCTGCCAAAAAGCTGCTTTGTGCAATTCCTCATAAATTTCAGAATGGTTTAAGACACCAGAATGGAAACTGTCGAGCAATCCCTTCCTAAAGGAGAAAAAAAAAACTTGTGTTTTTTTGTTTCACTGCATTTCTTCTCTGCAAACACACTGTAGCATTTTACGTGATGCTGTGAACTTGGGCTCAGCCTTGGGCAGAGATGTAAACTATGGCACCAGGAAGTCATGGGGCACACACAGCATGATCAGCCCTCAGCTGAATCTGGGAAGAGCTGACAGGCAAGCCCAGTGTTCCCTGAGGGCTCACACCAGCTTCTCTGGTTATATGTGCTCTTGTGATTCTTTCCCCAGCAACGAAGCTCCCCGGGACAAGGGGCATTGGTATCATCTCTATAAACCTGGACCTAGTCTGTAGCAGAGATACTGTAAAAACCTTTCTTTGGCTTACAGCACTGAAAACCTCTTACTTGGCTTCCTGCTCAAGCTGCTCCTCCAGCTGCCCAATCTTGGCTTCCAGGGCAGAGATGGTTGCCTTGAACTTGGACTTGACAGCGCCCTCTAGCTCCTGCAGCTTGGCCTTCAGCTCCTTGTTCTGCCGCTCCAGCTGCTGGCGTGCATTGTCGCTCTTCTGGGCAGCGCTGCGCTCGGCCGCCAGCTCAGTGTTCAGCGTGTCCACCTGAAGGGGAGACGGGTCAGTTGTGCAGGGGATGGCACAGTCCCTTCTGGGGTGAGGGGACATGGCAGGCCCACCTGCAGTGTGGTCTTGCGGAAGCGGTCGTTGAGCAGCTCCATGTTGCTCTGCTCCTCCTCCAGCTCCTCCTCCAGCTGTGCGATCCGAGCCTCCAGACGCCGCTTCTCATCCAGCAGTGCAGACCTGCAGCCCAGGCGGCGACACTCAGCACGGAGAACTCCTAGGGCTCCTCCACCCACTGTGCTACCACAAGCTGAGCAGCATTCTTAATTTTTCTCTTTCCCCTCCTCCCACCCCAATCTGCCAGGTCCTGTTAGTTTTTGCTTCCAAACACGCTGCCCACTTCTCTCCATCCTCAGGCCTTCCAGCTGGTCAGGCCCTGCTATCTCTCGCCTGGATCACTGTGCAGCCCTCCAGCTTTGCTCCACAGCCAGTGTCACCTTTAAAAGTGCAAAAAGATCCTGGTGTTCCCTAGCTTGTCTAGTGCACCAAGATCCAAAGCCAGCTCCTCACCATGGCACACTAGAAAATGACCATGATGGATCCTTAGGACAGCCATTAAATGGAGAAAGCAACCTTTTAATTGTAAAGAAAAAAAACAAAACCCAAAACCTGACTTTCAATGAAACATATGTCGAGGGAAAGAGACCTAATAAATGTGAAAGTGAGGCCCTGTACTGCAAGGCAGTGCAGCCTGTGGAGGCCAGATAGGTTCTGAAGGCCCTTCCTCAGCCTGTGTGGACGTGACTGGTGCAGGGAGGTGTGACCTGGCAGGGCTGTAGCCAGTTGGCTAAGGCCCAGCATCTTGTGCTCATCTCTCCAGACTTTGAACAAATGAGCAAACCAACCACTGACTCCCCAATGCCAGATGACCCCCATAGCCGACCTAGTGCCTTTGAGGACTGGTAAGATACCCGCCCCTTCCCACCTGCTCAGGAGACTCACTTGCCAGAGGCGCTGTTGGCAATCTCATCTGCCAGCTCGTCTCTCTCCTGCTCAGCATGTCGGCGGGCTCGCTCGGATGAGGCAAGTTCCTGAGTGAGTTCAGATTTTCATGTAAGCTCTGGCTGCTAAGTTTCCTCAAGTGTGAGGTCTGACAGTGCCTGTAGGCTGCTGCCACCTTGCTCGAGGCATCAAGTATGCCTCAAATTGTAAACAGATTTGAGAAATACACTATTCAACCTCTCTGTCTTTAGTCAGGTAGAACAATATCAAAATGGGACCACTTTGCCCAAGTGAAGCAGTAAGATGGTCCAGGACCATATTAAAAATGGTCAGTGAGATCACGCTGGCTACAGAAAAACTAAAATGTATTTATCTGGTCTTAGAGCAATTCCAAGGGCAAATATTTGTTAAGCAAATAGATGAATAAATAAACACACAAACCTCCTGCAACTGAAGGATTTCTGCTTCCAGGCTTTTCAGTTTCTTCTCACTCTCTTTGGATTGAGCAAAAATCTCATCCCGAGATGCACGAGCTTCTTCTAACTCACGCTGGTAGTCCTTCATCTGAGCCTAAGCATGAGGAGGAGGAAAGTTTTGGGGTAGTGTTTATTCTTAGTTTTTTTAAACATAATTTTCCCCCCAGATTATAAAATATGAGTATTATAAAAGTATGTAGAAGTGACAAAAAAAGAAAACATTCAAGTCAATATCCCTTATGAATGTAGATGCAAAAATCCTCAACAAAACAGAAACCAACAAGATCTATCAACACATCCAAATGGGATTTATCTGAGGAATTCAAGGTTGATTTGACATCCAGAAATGAATTAATATAACTATGTGATCACTTCAATTGACACAGATGCAACCTAATACCTTTCAATATAAAAACACTCAATAAGCCTTTGACAAAATTCAACATCCATTTATGATAAAAACCCTCCAGAAAGCAGGCATAGAAGGCATACCTCAACATAATAAAAGCCATATATGATAAACCCACAGCAAACATTATCCTCAGTGGTGAAAAATTGAAAGCATTTCCCGTTTTTAAAGTCAGGAGAACAAGACAAGGATGCCCACTCTCACCACTACCATTCAACATAGTTTTGGAAGTTTTAGCCATAGCAATCAGAGAAGAAAAAGAAATAAAAGGAATCCAGATTGGAAAAGAAGTAAAACTCTCACTGTTTGCAGATGACATGATCCTCTACATAGAAAACCCTAAAGACTCCACCAGAAAATTACTAGAGCTAATCAATAAATATAGTAAAGTTGCAGGATATAAAATTAATACACAGAAATCCCTAGCATTCCTATATATTAACAATGAGAAAACAGAGAAATTAAGGAAACAATTCCATTCATCATTGCAATGAAAAGAATAAAATACTTAATACATCTACTTAAAGAAACAAAAGACCTATATACAGAAAACTATAAAACTGATAAAAAAAACCAATGAAAGAAATCAAAGATGGAGATCAATCAAATAGATGGAGAAATATACCATGTTCATGGATCAGAAGAATCAATATAGTGAAAATGAGTATATTACCCAAAGCAAGCTATAGATTCAATGTAATCCCTATCAAGCTACCAATGGTATTTTTCAGAGAACTAGAACAAATAATTTCACAATTTGTATGGAAATACAAAAAACCTCAAATAGCCAAAGCAATCTTGAGAAAGAAGAATGGAACTGGAAGAATCAACCTGTCTGACTTCAGTCTATACAAAGCTACAGTCATCAAGACAGTATGGTACTGGCACAAAGACAGAAACATAGATCAATGGAACAAATTAGAAAGCCCAGAGATAAATCCATGAACCTATGGAGACTGTATCTTTGACAAAGGAGGCAAGAATATACAATGGAGAAAAGACAATCTCTTTAACAAGTGGTGCTGGAAAAACTGGTCAACCACTTGTAAAAGAATGGAACTAGAACACTTTTCTAATACCATACACAAAAATAAACTAAAAATGGATTAAAGATCTAAATATAAGACCAGAAACTATAATAAACTCCTAGAGGAAAACATAGGCAAAACACTCTCTGATGGAAATCATAGCAGGATCCTCTATGACCCATCTCCCAGAGTAATGGAAATAAAAGCAAAAATAAATGGGACCTAATTAAACTTAAAAGCTTTTGCACAATGAAGGAAACTATAAGCAAGGTGAAAAGACAGCCTTCAGAATGGGAGAAAATAACAGCAAATGAAGCAACTGACAAAGACTTAATCTCAAAAATATACAAGCAACTCCTGCAGCTCAGTTCCAGAAAAATAAGCGACCCAATCAAAAATGGGCCAAAGAACTAAACAGACATTTTTCCAAAGAAGACATACAGATGGCTAACACACACATGAAAAGATGCTCAACATCACTCATTATCAGAGAAATGCAAATCAAAACCACACTGAGGTACCATTTCACGCCAGTCAGAATGGCTGCTATCCAAAAGTCTACAAACAATAAATGCTGGAGAGGGTGCAGAGAAAAAGGAACCCTCTTACACTGTTGGTGGGAATGCAAACTAGTACAGCAACTATGGAGAACAGTGTGGAGATTCCTTAAAACACTGGAAACAGAACTGCCATACGACCCAGCAATCCCACTACTGGGCATACACACCAAGGAAACCAAAATTGAAAAAGACACGTGTACCCCAATGTTCACTGCAGCACTGTTTACAATAGCCAGGACATGGAAGCAACCTAGATGTCCATCGGCAGATGAATGGATAAGAAAGCTATAGTATATATACACAATGGAATATTACTCAGCTATTAAAAAGAATGCATTTGAATCAGTTCTAATGAGGTGGATGAACCTGGAGCCTATTATACAGAGCAAAGTAACTCAGAAAGAAAAACACCAATATATTAACGCATATATATGGAATTTAGAAAGATGGTAATGATGACCCTATATGTGAGATAGCAAAAGAGACACATGTAAAGAACAGACTTTTGGACTCAGTGGGAGAAGGTGAGGGTGGGGTGATTTGAGAGAATAGCATTGAAACATGTATATTATCATATGTGAAACACATCACCAGTCCAGGTTCGATGCATGAGACAGGGTGCTCAGGGCTGGTGCACTGTGATGACCCTGAGGGATGGGATAGGGAGGGAGGGTCAGGATGGGGAACACACGTATATACCCATGGCTGATTCATGTGAATGTATGGCAAAAACCACCACAATATTGTAAAGTAATTAGCCTCCAATTAAAATAAATTAAAAAAAATTTTTTTTAAAAAACAAAACTGGAAGAATAATAAAAAACACTCAATAAACTGAAGGCAACTTCCCCAACCGTGATAAAGGGAATCAGTGAAAAAGTAACAGCTAATATCATACTTAATGGTCTAAGACTGAATGCTTTTCCCTACAATAAGCAATGAGACAAGGATGTTTGCCCTTGCCATTTCTGTATAACAGTGTAATGGAGATGCTAGTCAAAGCATTTAGGCCAAGCCAGGGAAATAAAAGATATCCAGATTGAAAAAGAAGAAATAAAACTTAGCTCAATTTGCAGATGAAAATATATAGAAAATCTTAAGGAATCCACTAAAAAAAGTTACAACTAATAAATAAGTTCAGTGAGGCTGCAGCATACAGGATCAATCAATACAGTTAGTTCTCCATACCTGAGCTCTACACCCATGGATTCAACCAACAGTGGATCAAAAATATTAAGAGAAAAACATTCTCAGAAAATTTCAAAAAGCAAAACTTGAATTTGCCACGTGGGCAACCATTACCTTGTATCAGGTTGTTATGAGTAAACTAGAGATGATTTAAAGTATATGAGAAGATGTTCACAGGTTATATGCAAGTAATACACCATTTTATATCAGGGACTTAAGCATTGGAGGATTTTGGTATCCATGGGGGTGAAGGGGTTGGTCCTAGAACCAATCTCCCTCGGACACTGAGGGACAACTGTACAAAAATAATTGAAACTCAATACACTAACTATAAACACTGTAAATATTAACAAAGCAGCTATACTTATAATCAAAAGGGTAAAATTTAGCTAATGTATAAGACTTGTACACCAGAAACTAAAATAAAGCATCACAGAGAAAAATGAAATAGCTAAATGGACTGACAGCCATGTTCATGGACCATGTTTGTGGAAAACTCAATACCTTTGTGAGGATGGCAGTACTCTCCAAATTGATCTACCAAGTCAATGTAAAATAAGAATTCAAGCTGGCTTAGGGGAGGCGGGGGCAGAAACTGACAAGCTGATCCTAAATGGAATCGGAAGGAACCCAGAACAGCAGTCATGAAAAAGAACAAAGCTGGAGAAGTCATAGTTCCCAAGTGCAAAACCTATAAAGCTACAGTAATCAAGACGGTGTGGTCCTGGCAGGAGGACATAGATATCAAGGAATAGAACTAAGAGTCCAGTAATAGACACAAGTCTATGGTCAGCTGATCTCTGACAAGAGGGCCAAGATAATTTCAATGGGGAAAATCTTTTTAACAAATGGTGCTGGGACAACTGAATATCCATATCCCAAAGAATGAATTGGGTTCATATATCAAACTACATAATAAAAATTAAAATGGGTTTACAAAGAGCCAGAAGTATAAAACTCTTCAGTCATGTCCGACTGTGTGACTCCATGAACTGCATAAAACTCTGGATTAGGTAGTGGTTTCATAAATAGTAAAAACAGAAGAAACAAAAGGAAAAAATAACCTGAACTCCATCAAAATAAAAAACTTTTGCACTGTAAAATAGTACCACCGAGGGAGTGAATAGATAATCGAGAATGGAAGAAGATGCAGAATCACCAAGGCCAAAGGAATGGAAATTTTCTAAAGCTTTTGTCTTTCCCTCCAGAGAACTGTGTCCTTGTATGAGAGAGCCCATCACATCCTGCCAATACAGCAAGTTACTACAGAAATCACTTTGTCACTGTGACAGTGAAAACCGGCATGCCATCTGAGTAGCTAAAGTGATGCTGACCGGACAGAAAGGCGCAGCTGGAGGCGGAGCAGAGCAACATGAAGCTGCTCAACGACCACTTCTGCAAGACCATGCTGCAGCTGGGCCTGCTGTGTACCCCCAACCCCAGGAGCGGCTTGCAGCCTTGGCTGACAAAGTCGACACCACCTACTCTCAGTGGGTGGCTGCGTGTTTAGTTGACCACGAGACATTATTCAGAGCCCCAAGAGCTTGTCTCTCAGTGAGTGCCCACCTGGCAACTCCACCTCACTCAATCCAAAAGGGGCCAAGCCCACCCTGTAGATGCTGGAGCTATACACGTATCATCTTTATGGCCTGTGGCCCCAGCCTACAGCTGAGGATGACAGCGGCCCTGTGCCCTGCAGCAGTGACGTGGCAAACTGAGCCCGCCAGCACGACGGTGGCTGGATGCTGCCCAGAGCCTTCTCCAGCATCACGGGCCATGTCATGCTCGGTGGTCTCAGCAGGGCCTGATGACCCCACCATCACACCCTGACGGCTGGTGGCACTCACCTGGAGTTTGCGGAGCTGCTTGATCACTTCGTCCCTTGCTTTGTTAGCTGCCTCGATTTGAGCCTCCAGGTCCTTCAGGTCTATTTCCATTTTCTTCTTCGAGGCAACAGCCAGAGCCCGCTGTTTCCGCTCATCCTCCAGCTCTGCCTCGAGCTCCCGCACCTGACAGGCAGTGTCAGGATACATCCATCAGACCTGGTGTCCTCACACAGAGAACAGGCCCATGGGGGTTCTGCTTACTCAGGAGGGGGGCTCTCTGCCTCCAAGCAGTTATTATTATTAGCAGCTGAATTTGTACAGAGAGATCTATAAATATCTCCACCTGGTACAAATCATTTCCACTGACCATGGCAAGAGTGTGTAAGGAGGCAGGATCCCTGATCTCAAGCTCCTAGTCCAGGTGATGCAGTAAGATTGGAAGGCACGAGACAAGCTCTTAGGGAAACTCCCCCCTTTCCCCACACAGGGACACCCCAACCCCTGCAGAGGGCCCCACGTGTCAACCACATGGGCAAACAGCTTGGACACACTCCTTCCAGCCCCAGTCAGCCCTTCAGATGATGGATGCTCCCTGCTAATAAGCTGATTCAGAATTCCCAACTCACAGAAACTCAGTTAATGTGTGCTGTTTTAAGTCACTAAGCTTAAACTAATCTGTTATCTAGCAATAAATGACTAATAAAATGTTAGTGGACCAAAAATAATAAAGTATCAAAAGACTTGATACCATGAACTCCAAGGGAATGTTAAAGTGAAAGTTGCTCAGTTGTGTCCGAGACTTTTCATCCCCATAGACTATACAGTCCATGGAATTCTCCAGGCCAGAATACTGGAGTGGGCAGCCTTTCCCTTCTCCCAGGGGGATCTTCCCAACCCAGGGATCAAACCCAGGTCTCCTGCATTGAAGGTGGATTCTTGACCAGCTGAGCTATCAGGGAAGCCCTTGGGAATGTTTCACTTTAAAATTTTAAATTAGAAGCTTAAATGCACTCAGAAAAGTATATAAATTGTAAGTGCCCAAGCAATGTTTTCAAATAACAAAAATGTAAATACCTAGAGTTTTCCCTTTAAAGAGTGGTTTAATGAGGACATGCAATCTGACCTTTAAAATATTCTGAATCACCTTGTCAGGTATGTACTGATTCTTCCCTTTACTGACATTTGTAAAACTCCCAGAACTTGAACCTGACTACATGTCTCTGGACAGCCTACTGGCTTTTAAGTAGTAATGATAATCTGGGAAATTGGAAATCAAAATTAATTACATTATATTTTAAAGATAAAGTTATATGACCCAATACATTTCCTCCACCTACTATGTTCCAACGCGAATATCACCGGCTCAAAACTGGTCTTTGAGCACAAATAAGGGCCTGTTCTGGGGGCCACACCTCTAAGATCTACCTGTTTAATGAGCAGCCGCTTCTTTTCCTCATTCTGCTCATCCCTGGTCTGCAAGTCTCTCTCGAACTGGGCCTTCATGGCTTGCATGTTGACCTCCAGGCGAAGCTTGGCGTCTTCTGTAGCTTGGAGTTCATCTTCCAGCTCCTCCAGTTGGGTCCTCATTTCCTCCACCTGCTGCTCTAGGGCCCGTTTGGATTTCTCAAGTTCATGAACCTAGACCACAGGAATAAGCACAGGTATGACCCTTGGAGGGACATGCATGGACAGTAGTTCCTGTTATAGAGCCAACCCCCCCAGGCATCCCCCCCCACCCCGACCTGGCCGCTGCACTAGTTCTCATCTCAGAGTGCACCATCTGAATGACAGGCCTGACTTCATGCCCGTGTGCCCTACTGTGGATCATGCAGCCGAGAGATCTCTAAAAGCTGATGATCAGAAAAAAAGCATGGTGTCAGGGCAATGGCCTGTTGATTGGCCACTGGCCTGCGGTCTCACAGCCCCTCCTTCTTGCTGTGGTGAAGATGATTTGTATTGAAAATGCACATGTGCAGATTTTTAAATATTAAGGTGTGTGAGTCCTAGGAAGCATGGTACAGCGAGAAAGAGGTCTGACCTTTCTCTGGACACAGATCCCCACCATGTACTCATTTACTAAGTTCTCTGTGCCCAGCATTGTGCTGGGTGCTCCCTGTCATGTTCCATTTGATCTCAGAGACAACTCTCAGGCAGGCATGTGCAGGCACTATTATTATGTGTCCCTTGGGGTTCATGGCCATGTCGGTTCTTCTGAGGACAGAAGACGCCTTAGGACATGAGGAGGCCTGTGCCTCTTGGTGCCTGGCACTTCACAGGCACAGAGGAAATGTTTTTGGAAAGAATGTGTGACTATCGTTTAGTCTAAAGGAAACCAATGAGGAACAAGAAGACGGACTCAGTGCTGGAATTTTCTCTTTGCACTTTACTATGTAATCCTGGCCATTTCTATGCTAGGGGGCTCTTGTCCAACTGGGCTGTAGAAGACTCAGCAGGAAGGGCAGTCCCACACCCTCATTATATGGCCAGATGGCCCATGTCCCAGGAAAATGAGATTTTATTTTTAGAGAGGACTTCGTGTCTTTCAGAGCACATCTGTAGCAGCTTCATGAAATAGGTAAGTATCATGTCCATTGGACACAAGAGGAAATGTGGAGAGGCTGAATGGAGCTGGGGGAGAGTCAAATCCTGAACCTGTTCTGACCCCCAGGCCTGGATCCCCATCGCTCGCCTCAAACCTCCAACACTAAGGGAGGGATGCAAGGTGAACAAATATCATGGCAGCATCATGGAAGGCATGTGCAGCTAGGGGATAAGGGGTCCCCCTGGCTCCTCTCCAGGTTCCCCACTCTGTGCAGGAGACAGACCCCACTGCCCTCAATCTGAGGCAACTTGCGATACTTGGGTTTGATAACCACCCCGTGACCCAGGGACAAAGAAACACTCCATTCACAAGGCTCCCGCGAGGATGCAGGTTACAGTGGGGAGGGTCTGTGAAAACCACGAGAATGCCCTGCCGGGCTTTGGTGCAGGTAACTGGGGACAGACAGGAGAAAACCTGACAGCTCATCCTGGAAGACCCTGACCTGACAGGCCGAGACCACCTCGTCCATGTCGCTCTGGGCTGGCCCTTCCGAGCTGCTGGCTCCCCAGCGGCCTGGGCCCTGGCACTCACGTTCTTGCCCACGTCGTCCTTGGAGCTCATGAGGTCCTCCATGTCCGCCCGCAGCTGCTTGTTCTGTCGCTCAGCCTCCTCCCTGGCCTCCAGGGCCTCCTCCAGGGCGCGGGCCAGGGACAGGGCTTTGGTCTCCTTCTCTCGGGCCTCTGCCTCCGCCCGGTCGCGCTCTTCTGCATAGCGGGCAGAGATGTTCTTCTCTTCTGCTAACAGCTACACGGGATGGCGTCAGGAAACAGTAAAGATCAATGTTGGACTTCTCTCATTTGCTGCATGTCTGACTTACAGACAGATCACCATGAGATCATGGGTGTTCTCCTATTCTATTCCCTCCTTTATGCTGGACTTTTTCCAGTTTTGCTACAAATACACCTTGTTTTAAATAAGGGATTATTTTAAATCCAAATGATGAAAGTGAGGGCTGTGCCAGGAGGAAACGTGGGGTGCTGGCCCTGGAGCCTGGAGTTGGGAGTGTGGACCCCACCTGATCAAACTTCTTCTGTTTCTTCTCCAAGTTGGAGACGATCTGGCGCTGGTGGTCCAGGTCTACCAGCAGGTCGTCCAGCTCCTGCTGCAGGCGGGTCTTGGTCTTCTCCAGCTTGTCATAGGCCAGGGCCTTCTCCTCCAGGCGCTGGCTCAGCACCTCCACATCCTTGAGGAGCTTCTTCTTGGCTTCTTCCAAACTTTCAATTGTCCCCAGGTCATCATCTACTTTCTTCTTGGTATCAGTCAACTAAAGGAAAAAGATCAACATTAAAGAACTCACCTGGATTTCACATTTGAGGAAAGAAGGTAAAACTTGTTTTCATTATCTTGTGAGAAGAAATAAATCAATACTCTGTGACTCTGAGCAAGTGAATCTTAGACCATAAACTTCTTCACTAATTATCTACACACAATGAATAGACTGGAACCTTACACCTCCCAACACTGTAACCAGCATAGGGTTAGTGTGTGATGAGGTTGAAGAAAACACACTTAAGGGGTTTCACTTAGGACAAGGCCCACTTAACTGTCCCAAATGGAGCTGGAAACACCCAGCAGGACAGGGACATGACACACAGGTGGAGGGCCACAGTCCCCACAGCCTCACGCACCTGGGCCTGCAGGGCCTGCAGCTGCTTTTCCAGGCTCCTCCTGGCCTCCTCCTCTTCCTCCTGCTGCTCCTGGAGGCTGCTCCTCTCCTCCTCCAGCTGCCGGATCCGACTGCTCAGGTTCAGTTTCTGGCGCGTCTCCTCCTGAAGAAGCTCCTGTTCATTTTGATAGAAGGTCAGTAGTCAGGTTACAGTCATCACCCAAACCACCATATCCTTAATTAAAAAAACTGAGTGTGAGGAATACCCAGTGATAATAACAAACAAGTGATTTTAAAACACACATGATCATTTAAACAGCGCCTGTAATAAAAGAGTGCTTTGAACTTGTTCACTGGGGAATACCCTGGTGGTCCAGTGGTTAGAACTCTGAACTTTGTCACTGTTCAAGGCATGGGTTCCATCCCTGGTTGGGGAACTAAGATCCCCAAAACCAAGTGGTGGCCAAAAAAACACCACCACAAAATCAATCCTGTTCACAAGAAATGGCAACACCTCCCCCAGGGGCCAGGGACCTGCGAGCTTCCTTTTTCCACATCCTTCATCACTTCTTGAATCCCTTCCTGCTGCTCTCAGGTCAGCGGAATGGGTCAAAACCGTGAGAAAACCATCGTATTTAACATGGCCAGCAATGCATGAGCGTACAACAGGACCACCGCCTGGTGAACCACACCCCAGGCAGCGCCCAAGTGGCCGGCCAGAGCCCCCTCCCAGGCGCCCACACACCCTACAGACAAGGAACCACAGGCTCTATATATGAGCTCAGAGGAGGGCTCTTGAGCATCAAGGCTTGTGGTACAAGACAGTTGAAAATAAAAGTAAAACAGGAAATCAGAAAGAGGTGATAAGAGGCCAATTCTGGGACAAGCGTGTTTCACAAGCTCACAGATGATAGAAACAGGAGAGTTATGATGAATACCCTCCCCACCCTCAGAATACCTGTGTGTCTTGGAGCTGAGACTCCAGACCAGCTGCATCCTTAGCAAATTTAATACCCTTCTTCTCTGCTTCTTCTAGAAGAGTTGAGACATTATCCAATTCATTCTGCAAGGAAGAATAAAAGATCAGACTCCCTTCAACAGTGGGCAGATAGAAAAGAGTGGTGGTTCTGTTATGGAAAAACTGCATTTTTTTGACCAACCCAATAGTATCCACAATCACATGAGAAAGGGGCAGCACATGGAAGACGCAGCAGTCTTGGCCACAGAGGGTGGGGAAGGCTCTGGGCTGCCTGCCTGCAGCTCTACCCCCGAGAACTGCCAGCTGAGTCCCAGGGGCAGTCGAGCTAGTCACGTCCTCATCTACCAGACCCATCTCGGAGTGATGTGAGCTTTAAGTGGGAGAACCAACACAAGGAGCCTAATGTGTGCTGGGGGCTGCCTGTGTGCCCCTGAATGTCAGTCCCCGCCCAACACTGGGGGTGATGTCTGGGAATGGTTTCCCAGGCCTACCTGTAACTTATTGGCTTTCTCAGCCAGCTCCACCCTAAGTCTGTCTCCCTCTGAGACCTTGGCGTGGAGCTCCTGGACCTGGGCGTCCAGCTTCTTCCTCTTGTGCTCGGACTCAGCCTTGACCTGCTGTAGCACCTTTACCTCGCACGCCAGCTCCTTGTTGTCTGTCTCCAGGCCCTGTTTGTTCTTTTCCAGATTTGCTTTGAACTAGGAGAGGGAAGGAAAAACAGTTCACTAGCAATTTTATAATGAAGGCCACAAAGGGCGCTGCTCTGGTATCTGGAGAACTATGCTGACACTGGGTGAGCCTGCAGTCCACATCTGTTGAATGAATGAATGAAAACACTTGTTCTGAGTGTGAAGATGTCTGTTGCAGGAACACACAACTTAGGACAGCAGATACAGATATGGGGGGAGGGTAGGGGGGCACTTCTGGAAGCCAGCACGAGACATGGAAGCGGGAACAATGAACAAAGGCAATACCCTGTGTGGTGCCTGGGACAGATCAGAGATGGGGGGATGGGGGTGGGGGAGACACCAGGTAATCAAGGGCAGGACACCAACTGTTCGAGGTTTTGCACTGAGTCATCAGGAGGAAGCAGGTGTCAGTGGAGACGCTGAGAGGACCAGGACTGGAGACCGGAGCTGACCCACCCAGCTCAGGGGCGTCTGGCTCTCCCAGGCCAGCAGTGTGCGCTCGGAGCCCAGCCGCTGCCGTGCCCCACGGCCCCCTACCCTCTTGGCCTGTTCCAGCTGCTCCGACAGCTCCTCCAGGGCGGTCGCGTGCCTCTGCCTCATGTCCTGGATCTGAGCCTCGTGGCTCTTCGTTTCCTCCTCGAGAGCCTTCTTCAGCTCCGCCACTTCTTGTTCTCGTTTTGTACTATAGACATTTTGAGACAGACATTAAGTTAGCTCAGAGTTAGTTGAATGATTAGATTACAGTTCTGCTTTTGTCTGAAATACGAGTGGGTTCCTCTGGCTATCTCACATGACATTTTCCAGCAGGCTGGCACGTCCATCACTGTAAGCAGCTTTCTCTAGAAATGGGGCTTTCTGGTCAGCCCTCCCCATGCGCCCTGCTGTTGTCCACCCGCACGCCTGTGCTCCTACCACAGGCTGGGTGGATTCTGACCACGGAGGTGTGGTTACTGCTCCACCCGCCGTTGTCTCCAGGAGGGAGAGGGGCTGCTGGATGGAGGAAGTGCCCCTCCCCCGCTCACCGCAGTTCCTGCTGGGCCGCCGTGGTGTCCAGTGTGTCCTCCAGCTCCGTCTTGAGTGCCTCCAGCTCCTCACTCAAGTCCCTCTTCTGCTTCTCTGCCTTGTTCCGCGAAGCCTTCTCAGATTCAAAGTCCTCCTGCAGCTCGGCGATCTGGGCCTGCAGCTCTCGCACGACTTTCAGCGCATTGTTCTTGTGCAGCGTCTCGTCGTCACCCCTGCGCAGGACACCGGGGCACGGGAGGCACTCAGAGCCGGCGCCCAGGGACTCTTCCCATAGGGGCTCCATCACACACCCCTCCACCCTCAGTCATGGCCCGGGCAGGAGTGGCTGCACCCATGAGTGGCTCAGGGGCCCAGAGCTGCTATCAGGATGGGGCTCAGGTCCTGTCCAAACGGCTCATGGGCATGAAAAAGTAGGACCCTCTCACTTTAATGATTATAGTATTTAAAAATTTCCTCAAGCAAAATTGTTCTTCTAATTAAGCAGAGCCACCACCTTCATTCCCTCCACCCTATGCTTCTCGTTCCTCTGGTGCACCTTTCTGCTCATGCGCAGGGTTCAGTGTAGGTGGAGTTCTGACTGGAGGAGGTGGGACGCTGACGCATTATGGGGGTGGAGAACTGTAGTTCTGGGTTCTAAGCAGTCACCTGCTAAGGGGCCAGAGACCAACAGCAATTGCAGAGAAGAATTTCTAAGATTTTCCTGATCGTAATAAATTATAAACAGCCAAATATTAATAGTTATCTTGATAAAGAAATGAAGTATCAGGTATAACTATATTTACACTCTATGACTTCCATTCTATAACTGAATGGTTAAGGACTAAACAGCAAACTATGCTAGATGTGGGAGGGAGGGATTTAATTCCTGAAAAGTGATTTCCTTGAAACTTGTAAAACAATGTTTTACAAGTTATAATGTATAGAAGCTATAATGTACAGAAACCAGAATATTTGATATGGTTAAAACCATTTGATCTGGTGTGTATTTCCAAGGATTTCATGATACAACTCATGATTTTTGAATATAAATACCAAGAAAGGCTGATGAGCTTTTCTGGCTGCCTTGACACAAAGGTTTCCAAGTTCCCCAGGTCCTTATGTCACTGCAACCACCAGGAAGCCACGTGTCTAGTGCACACCTGGCCAGGGCGCCCTGCAGCTCCTCCTCTTTCTTGGCCACCTGGATCTTAAGCTCGTCGATCTGCGCCTGGAGCTCGGCGATCTGGTCTTGCAGGTCCGTGGTCTCCCCGTCCAGTTTCCTTTTGGCCTTCTCCAGCTCCTGGCGTGTCTTCTCCTCCTTCTTTAAGCGCTCTTAGGGCAAGATACAAGAAGCTCTTCAACACACTGAACACCACTCCATAGGACACATTCAAAACATAGACTGGTTAAAGTCAAAAACAAGCCACTGTATTCTAAAGCCTGTTGCTGCTTTAGTGTCATTTGTGGGTAAGAATGGTTTATGGGAAGAATCTCATGCTGAGAATGAGGGCAACAAAATCCCAAATATTTTCTAGAAACCACTTATTTCCTCTGGTTATAAAAGATCTGGGGACAGCAGGGTGATTGAAGTCACACTCTTCCTCAGACACCTGTGTGCAGCTGCTGGTCAAAAGGAGGGTTTTCTGTGCTCTTTCTAACTTCCACCCTGATGTTTCTTTTGCAGAAGGCAATGATTCAGATTTTGCAAAAATCCTAGCATTTCCTGACATTAGTTGGGCCATCAGAGTGAGACACTGCCAGTCTCCACATACTCTCCTGTCTCTGCCCATTTCTGTGTCAGCACTTGTCCCTTTGTGAAGTGAGAACCAGGCACCTTAACACAGCATTTAAACACATACAAATTCAACGGCCTGCATGGCTCCAACTTCATTTAGATCCCAACTGTGTCCACCAAAGGGCAGTGTGTGTTACCACAGAAACTGACTTTTAAAAGTGAAAGTTTAAAGATAATTTAGTGCCTTTCCATCATAAATATTAGTATTTGGTGACTAGGCAATTGACAATCCCATGTAAGAGGCCTAGTCTAGTAAACCCAAACTGATGAGCAATCCTCATGTACATTTACTATTATGGCATGTTCTGATGTAAGTTATCTGGGCTTCCCTGATAGCTCAGTTGGTAAAGAATCCACATGCAATGCGGGAGACCTGGGTTTGATCCCTAGTGAGAAGGGAAGGGCTGCCCACTCCAGTATTCTGACCTGGAGAATTCCATGGACAGTATAGTCCATGGGGTTGCAAAGAGTCAGACACCACTAAGCAACTTTCACTTCACTGATATGAGTAAAATCTTAAAGGCTAACATGTCGTAGTCCTACAATTCCTCTAACCCCCAAACACTAACCTTCTAAATCTGAGATCATCACTTCTTGCTTATTCCTGATTTTGGCCAAGTTTTTTGCCTTTTCTTCCTCCTCAGCCAGCTGAGAGGAACATTCCGCAATGCGATCTTCCATGAGTTTCTTTTCCTGAACAAGAAAAACAGCTTCAGAAAAGGCATTCGAAATGACAACTGGATTTGGCTATTACTTAGGAAACAAGTATTAATAATACGGGCACTATCTCCCCTAGCAGACTGTATATTCCAAAAAAGGGCAGAAAAGGAAGGACCACTCGTTGTGGGACAACCCCCGGAGCTTGGCCTGCATAGCCCCAACAGCCAGTGCTTGATCACTGACCACACAGAGGGGAATCAAGGGGAGGGATCCACGTGCAGGCAGGGATTATGAGGCTGTCTGGTGAATTTAGAAAGTGAAATAGTTTCTGCCTTCAGACATCTATAGTCTGTGTAGTACAGACTATAAATCCAGAGAGACTTAAGTGAGGAAACGAGTAAATGAAATCCCGGGAATTTCCTATTGGAAGCCACCTTTGGTGAGAGTGTTGACCTAAGTATTTTCCATATTCTCAGATCAGCTCTTCAATGGAAATACTTCCTTACTTTGATAAACTTGGAGTTCTGGTCCTCCAGAAGCAGAATCTCTTCTTCCATTTTCTTGATCTTGGCCTCCGCCGTCACCTTCTCCAGCTGCAGCTTCTGGCGAGCCCCCTCCTCCTCATCTAGCTGCTCCTCCAGGTCCTGGTAAAGAAGCCATGTGGTCAGTCTCCCTGCTTCCTCCACGAGACTCCATACACACCAACCATCAAGGAGTTCAGGTCACAACAAAATACCAAGTTTTGATTTTCAAAATAGCAGGGATATTTTTTAAAATGTAAAATGTAATTATGTGAAATAGACACTTGTATCCACTATAGGTTAAGTACAAAGTGGACCAATCCTTCTAGAAGCCAGCGTGGGAAAAGCAGCTGCTCTGAAAAAGAGCATTTCTTTTAGAAGGCAATTTCAGGAAAAGTCAGATGTGACTTTTTAAAAAACCTGTAGCAAACTGTTATTTATATCGAGGAGCTATAAACATACTTAAAAGTCTTGGTAATTAAAAGTGGGTATATTTGTAAAACGGAATAACATATAGTAATTACAACCCATATTTTATAATAGTTAACACAGGGAAATATGAATAATGTAGTAAAACTATGTCAAACACATACTTACCTCATTGATCAGAGATGTATTTATATGTATTTGGGTACCCAAACGTTTACTGACCAGTGTTTCACTCATATCCATTTACATAACAAATCACCGGCCATAAATGTTAGTTTATGCAAAAATCACTGTCAATGATGTGTTGATTTATTCTACTATGTATGTTTGGCCGATAGAGAAGAGAAAGAGAACTCAGAAACAACAACAGAAACAGTACAGGTCGCTGAGGAAGGGCTGTCTCAGGTCATGTCAGGTTCACAGCGTGAATGCATCACCAAACTGGGTGGAATTCCTGCATTTACACACAGTTTTACTGCAATGGCTTCTCTTTAGCTACACTAAGGTAAAGTATGAAATAATCAACATGTGTATCAGAATAGGATTTGACATAATTGCTGAAGTTTATCACGACTGGTTTTGGAATGAAACCTTTGCACTAGATTAACTACTGTGAAAAACTTCAAGCACTCATAAGTTGACAGTAGCACAGTGAACTTGACACAGATGCATCAGCCCACACTGAGTAAAATAATACCACTGAAATGAGCACACACTCTTCAACAAAGAGAAGATGGAAACTATCGATAATACCACCAGAATGCATCACTGTTGGTGAATATTATTCTAGAGCTTCTGCATAGTCCCTTATAAAATCATATGTAAAATTTCTAAGTTATATATAAATACTTTTAGTTAGAGCTTATTGTATATATTCTTTTACGACTCTAATATGTTATTAATACCTGTAAAAATAAACATCTTTTAAATTTAAAACTGTATATTACTATAGTTTAAGAATCCCCCATTGTTAGATAATAAGTAGGCTTCCATTGATTTGCTGTTAGAATAAAGTCCTAGAACTAGAACTGCTGGATTAACGTGTACTGTTTACAGTTTTTGTGTTACTCTGCCAACCTACTAGAGGATGCTTGAAAGCTGTCTGTGTTGAAGAGCGGAGAGAGTCTGGATAATTTAACTGTACCGGGTATTTGTCAAGGAAACGATATGGTCTCTTTTGTGGCTTTGAGAAATGTCTGAATTGTTTGTGCTTTGCAAAGATAACCTATGTGATGGGAAAAAATTAAGGGAGAGACCTAGAAGAAACCAAGTCTGGCCCTAGACCCATGAAAAGTGGTGTTAGGTATAGACACACTGATGCTCAAGGCCATACTGGATAGTCTGGGGTGAGGTCAAGGAGAAAAAGCAGTGGGTGAGCTGCAGGGTACAGGCATAGTTACTGCTGTCTCTATCAGTCGTCTGGGTATTCAGTCAGAGAGAGAACTATGCTTCATGTGAGGGCAGCTCGATCTCAGTAAGGAAGTAACTATCAGGGACTTCCCTGATGGTTCACTGGCTAAGACTCCACACTCCCAATTCAGGGGGCCTGGGTTCAATCCCTGCTCAGGGAACCAGTTCCTGCATGCCACAACTAAGACCTAGAGCAGCCAAATAAATAAATAAAGCAGCTACCAGGAAGGGCGGCTCTGTGGCTTATTCTGATTCCTGGCCACCTCCTGCATCAGCACTGAGCATTTCTTATGACCAAACCACCTCGCAGGTGCCTCACTAATGACTGGAGTGAGCAGTGGAATTAACTGTATTAATGGTAATACAAAGGACAATCTCAGCCCCCACAAACCCTGGGATGTTTCTCCTCTGAATCACTTTGCATCTTGTAAGGTGTTAATAAGAACATAAGGAAAAGAAAAAAAGAGTCCCATTCAAAAGAACTAATCTATATTTGAAGGAACCCAGTAGGTATGTGGTTCGAATGCTGGTCATCTTTTAAGGGTGGGGACTTATCACTTAGGCTCCTCTTGCTCCTCAGTGGACACGAGAATCCAAACCCACAACATCCATTCACTCAACGGATACACTTGGAAAACTGAGATTGGAATACTATATGAGAATGGTCACTGATACCTGAATGTGTGCTTGCATTTTCTTCTTTTCATTTTGGAGGATTTGGTTTCTTTCTTCTTCTTCTTCTACCCTAGACTCCAAGTCGTGGAGTATCTCTTCTAATTCCTGCTTCTTAGCAGCAAGTCTGGCCCTCATCTCCTCTGCTTCGGCAAAGAGCTCAGTCTCTGCCTGCAGCTGCTCTGCCAGGATATTCTTCTCCTCCAGCAGCTGCAATCACAACAAAGTGCCCACTGCTGTGACTGGCTGGTTAGCACAAGGGACGGTCACTGGGAGGGACTGCAGTGGTCAGGGCACATCACCAAAGAAACCAAGGGTTAAACATACATAACATCACGGACAATACTTTCAAAATATGTCTTCAGCTCAAGCTAAATAAGCTGAATGAAAACATTCTGGGTTGTTTTTGTTGTCTCAAGTTATCCTGAATAATACATATTAAGTTCATGGTATTTTAAGAACTCCTGTTCTTACTATTAAGGTAATTCACAAAAGGGCCAAGGAACTGGAGGGAAATACTATGCAAATGCTATCAAGTTAGCACAAAGACAGTGGCTGTATATATATATATATATATATGTATACACACACACATACATATATATTCTGGTCTCTACTGTTACAGTTTTTGGCCCTGAACACATCAGTCCTGTCATTTCAACCACAAACAATTCTCAAGTCTCTGCTCTGTCCATGAAGCACAGTTCCTAAGAACAGGATGTGGACTCATGACCACTGTGGCTGGAGAAGAGGCAGGTGGGGGCCTTGAACGATCTCATCCTTTTACTTATTTCTGTTTCCCTTGTGAGCCACAGAAGGTGACAATACCGGGAGGAGTCTCACAGGTGTTAAAAACACACCTGAGAGCAAGTGTGATCACCTGTGTGTCAAAGAGTGACAGAGGTAAACATGCAGGTCAAGCTGATTCCCATGTACAGAAATCCCAATGCCTGGCCTAGGGTATCTGCTACCTCTATGTTCAAACGGCTGTGCTTTGGGAAGAAGTGGAAAATACACATGAAGTAAGACGCTGTTTACTGATAATTCCCTGGGTGGTTCCCACCCGTGGGAACGAGCATCTTCACTCAGGGCCATGTGGGAGCTGATCAGCCGTACCTGTTGGTGCTTCCTCTCCATCTCCTCCAGCTCCCCTTCCACCTTCGTCTGCTTCTCCTTCACCTTCAGCAGCTCTTCATCTTTGGCCTGGAGCTCCTCCTCTTGGCGAGTGACTTGTAGGAGTGGTTTCACCTAGGACAACATTGTACACCCAATGTTGCATCCCCGCTACTCCCCAGGGCTCCTCCTGGCCCCACCTGCCGTCCGGGGAGCCAGGCGCCCACCTTGGTGAAGACGCGCCACCACTGCCAGTGCCGCAGCTTCAGGTACGCGGCACAGTTGCGCTGCAGCACCTTCAGGGCACTCAGCTGCTGCTGCTTCTTGGCGAAGGCCCTGAAGAAGAGGAGGGAAAACTGGTTCAAGAAACCCTGTTTGTGTTTTTGTCCTGCTTATTAACAACGACATTCACCTCTCCCAGCTCTGGAGGCTGAAGGCCAAGCCATGGTCCCGGCAGATTCCCTGTGTGAAGACCCACTTCCTCACCGATAGCTGTCTTCTCACTGTCACCTCACGTGGTGGAGGGACAAGGAAGCTCTCTGTGGTCTCACTCACAAAGGCACTAATCCCATTCATGAGGGCCCTACCTTCATGCGCTAATCACCCCTAAGCCCCACCCCCACCCCCCACCAAAACACTATCCCTCTGGGGAATAGATTGCAACCTAGGAATTTGAGGGACATATCCAGTCTATGGCAAATAAGAGAGAACTGTGTTAGACAGCTGTTGTCATGGAGACTTACTAGTGGCAAACGATCCAGGAGGGCTGGGCTTGCGGTCAGGGATGTGATCACATCCCCGCTGGATCACTGGCCTGTTCAGCCAACCTTGGCATGTGTCACAGGACCTGGCACTTGGTTCACACATGTAGTCCAAAACATCCCCTGCCAACTACCTCCATATGCACACGCGTGTCCGTGTTGGTCTGAACAAGACTCTACACCCCCTTCCCTGTGCCATGCTCATCACTCCTCTGTTACTCTTTTTTTTTTGGATCTGTCACAGGAGAAACATTCCTCTCTCTAAGGTACTCTTTCTCTTCCCTCCTGGAGGTCATCAGGTTGATGCCTCTCATTCACGGGCAAAGGCTCAGAGAAGCCTTTGTGGAGGAACTGGACTGAGCAGGACCCGACCCTGCATTGTCTCTCTCAGCCCATTGTTTACGTCCTTATTTAGGATGTGTTATCTGCTTACTTGACTCTCAGACCCAGAGGACAGGGACCTCACGTCTCACACGTCTTTCTATTATTTCTAGCACAAAACACATCTCAGCACAAGTACACACTTCAAGCATTTAGTTCATGATTTTCTACTCACTTTCTGGCTAAATAACCCCTGCAAACAGCTTGGAAGAAGATAATGATGTCGGTAATTTTTAAATCTCGTTCTTCCTCTAAGTGTGCCAAGACTCCAGCTCTGAAAAATATCTTGCTCTGTCCAATTCTGTACAAGTTTGGGTCCAATTCTAAAGCCCGGATCTGAAAGAGAAAGTGTCTGCTTATTATTTTTGCTATAGGAAAGATTGTACCAACAGTCCTCGAATCAGAAAAATCCAGGAGAGCTCACCATTCGTTCGCAAGCCTGTTTGCCATCCATGAAACCCTTAGGGATAGCATTTGGAGTGAGGATCTCGTATCTGTAAGAAAAGCAGCCAAAAAGCCTTTTGTCAAAATCTGTGGAAATGTTCACCTACTAATGAGTTCTGCTTTCTCTAAGAGGCAATAATATGATGGGCAATTGGATTAAGAATAAACGACCAGCTGATGATCGGAGGTCTTCTGCAGATCTAGTTTCTATTTCTTAAAAGAAGTGGCAACGTGAAAATGCAGTGAATTCCCAGGTCAGAGACCATATTTAAGTAGTTGTGGCAGAGAAGAATCAAAAACATGGTGACGAGAAAACCTTTTGGTTTTGTTTTTCATTTCCTATAAAATGTCCACATCCTTAAGATGCAAGGAGAATCTGACTCTCTGCATATTCAGTCACTGTCAGCTTGTAGGCACTTACCAGATAACAGAAAAGGTTGTGAGAGCAACATTCAGAGGCCTCTGTTTAGAACATGAGGAAGTATTAGGGTGACTCAGAACAGTGCGAGGCTGGGAGTACATACGCTCACTGACCTGCACATTCAAGGCCTATGCATTTACTGTGTGTGGGTTATTCTCCAAGGAAGTGTTAGTACAAAGACATACTATATATACGTATGTTTTCAATATTTATTTGGCTGCACTGGGTCATAGTTGCGGTATGTGGATTCTCTTTCTTGCAGTACGTAGGATGTAGTTCCTTGATCTGGTATCGAACCCGAGTCCTCTGCATTGAGAGCATGGAGTCTTAGCCACTGGACTACCAGGGAAGTCCCAGTCTCAGACAATGGCTATATTAAAATATGAATCCTGGCTACATGAACAGTTTTCTGGAAGCCAGTTACTATGTTTCCTTTTCTCCTATCAATGAAAAGTGAAACTCTACCAGCCCATTTATCATACAGTGGGGCCATGATAAGGGTTTCCCTGAAAACCTGTAAGGACTGGAACAGATTTTTCAACTGGTTTCTCTCTGGAACAGCGGGAGGAAAGGCTACTCTTCAACCTACAGTTCCTGTTTATTTTATGGGACAACAAATGCTGTCATACTTGGAAACTTGATTTCCAGGAGAAAAAAGGCAAACCAGACTATTTAACAAAATTACATTAACAGACTCTTAAAATAACTGCAGCCCATCATGTTTTCATCCATTTCTACTGCACACTGATCTTCTCCCTCTTGTCTTTTTCTTAATTCTTCTTTTCTGATCTCTCCTATTCCTATTCTATGTTAGTAAAAGGACTCTAAGTACACACACATGGGCACACACAGCATGAAAAATACAAACCTACACACATAAACAGATAAATTCATTGAAGACAGACAGAAACATCCCCAAATGCTTTCAGGAGTCACACCTGAGTATTCTTATTCACCTTTTATATATTTAAAACATTTCCTAAAAGGAACACACATTATTCATATATTAAAAAAACAATTAAATTTATGTTTAAATCCTAGGTAGAACTGTCTGAATGAGTGAACTATACATTCTCAGCTCTCAGTGTTTCCTCACAACTGCCTCAGCACCCCGAGGACAGGAGCTGTCTGTGCTGCACCCACAGAAGTTATCAGCACCCTGACCCTCTGCAAAGCAGGCAGTCGATATTCCGGACCGACAAGAAAGGTAATGATGATGATGACCCCCTTCCCTTGTGAAAAGAAAACAGAGACTCTCCAGGGAACAAGGAAAAGTCTTTCCTCATCATCACACTGTTGGATATTCAGGTAAGCACAGGTCAAGGTGAGAAATACCTCTGTCTGAATTCCTGGAAAACGATCCGGTTGGGGAACCCCTGGCGGCAGATGCGGATCCCTTCCAGGACGCCATTGCAGCGTAGCTGATCCAGCACCAGGTGTGGGTCCAGTTTCCCAGCCTAATCAAGCAGATGACATTTTCAGAGCCTCATCTCTGTGAGCTGGCCCAGATCCATCTCCAGTGGCAGCACCTGCTCTGAAACACATACCCGCTTCTCATGATTCGGGATGATGCAGCGCACGAAGTTGGGGTTGGTGTTCCGGAGCGTCGCCATCAGCTTGGTGAGCGATTCTTTGTAGAGCTGCCCGACGGTGCGGAACATGCCCTTCTTGGTTTTATAGGCGGAGCCGAAAGCCGTCTCCGTCATCCCCGTGACCTGATCCAGACCCACGATCCGGTCCACTGGTGGAAATAAGAGAGACAAGGGAAAAGAAGTCAGACCTAACTCTTTAGCAGGGAAAGAAAAGACAGAGTGAAAGTGCGGCAGCACAAGCTTTGTGGGACAAATGATAGGAGATGCCATAGAGGTAAGGCAGTCAGCATATTTAGACACTGCACAAGCCGTGAACTAACAGCCACACACTTCCAGGGAGGATACGGTAGTGCTTCGTACCACATACCAGCAGGTGCCTTCCGCTGCGCTAGTGTCAGGAACTCACTGTCTCTGATAACATTTGCCTGTTACATATACAATTATTTGGTAAATGAAAGGTCATTGGCTGGCATTTCTAATACAAACTGACACTGTAAATCTCAAAACAGGAAATGGCTTCTAAAAACTGTACATTAAAACTTATGACTGTACAAAGCAAATCCACTGAGTGAATGTGCTCCAATTAAGGGGCCAGAGTCATTTGTTATTGGTCGTTTGATTGCCAATGAGAAAAGCCAACAAACACCGGAAGGTTATAGCAAATCAGCTCAGATTTTCAGGGATGAGTAAGGTTCAGCTCTCTCTTCAAAGCACCAGGACATGCATGAAAGGGCCAGAATGCAACATCGGAAGGCTCTTCTGGAAACAATCAGTGCCTGAGCTGAGTTCAACGAGGGCTACACCACTCAGACACCATGCTCTTATGAAAGCAGCCGTCAAGTGTCCACTGTCCACGTAGACCCACTGTTTCAAGTGACAGGCTCACACGCAAGAGCTTGGCAAGTGGACCAGCTGCCGGCCAAATGCGTGGTGCCTGATATGCTCTCATTTAAAAATATCTAATGAAAGAATGAAACACTCAACTGAAATACTATTTGGAAAAGAAATCAAAATATCAGTTGCACTAGCCTCATCATCACTCTCTTTGACTCTGTCGGTCCCGTTTCTTTCATATGTTCTCCAGGGCAGAGAGCATGCAGGGACCTGGCACCACGTGAAGTGTGCCCAAGTCATGCAGGCCTGCTGTGGAAGGCGCAGGAAGGGTGGATGGTGCCTGCACATGCTGGGACGACAAACGTGTGTGACCTGCCTACTTTGTCTCCTCAGAGCCGAGCCTCTCTCTAGGGCGGTTCCCACACATGCCACTCACTCCTCATCCTTCCTCTTCTCTCTGTGCAACCAACTGGCTTCCAGGCCTCCCTCCTCCCAGCCTTATACAACTCTGGTCCAGGGCTTATGTCACTTGACCCTGGTCCATGTAAAACCCCTGCTGACCATCACAGCAGCATTCTAGAAAGTCTCCATACCTGGCTTCTTTGTGAACTGTGAACCCCACCACTTCCTAGCCCTCTACCCATCTCTAACTACTACACTCTCCCTGGTGACCTGACTGCTGCTTTTTTCCGTATCTCACGATGCTCACTAGCTAGGGGCCCAAACTCAGCTCACCTGAAATCCTTTCTAGACTAAGGCAGGACACAAGTGCACTTGACCTTCTGCCTTCCTCAAGCCGCAGTCTCCTCCTAGGCATCTTATTTATGCCTTGAACTCCTGTACCTGACTACCCAGCACGAGTCACCAAACACCTATACTCTCATGTCTAACAGGTCACAAAGCCCCTCTCAACATCTGTTTTTCCTCAGAATCACCTCCCTCTAACCTAGCACAATGTCTGGCACATAACCTGCCTGATACTCATATGTTAGCAAATAAATGCAGTACAAATTAAATGCTTTCAAACTAGTGAGAAATGCATCAAAAGAAAAGAACAAGATGCTACAAAGGATGGGCAGTTAGAGATCTCCTTAGGAAATTACATTTAATGCCTGAAGAGTAAGGACGAACCGGTGGAGAGACCATTGCATGCAGGCAGTAAGAACAGGTGTGAAGGACCAGGGGCAGGAGGAAGTGAAAGAAGCTGGTGCCAGTGAGGCATCAGGAGCGAGGAGGTGAGGACACGAGGATGGACTGGGAAGGGGTCAGCAAGATGACAGGGACCCATATCGAAGTCCAGGTTCTAAGAGACATGATGGTAGCCTCAATTTGTGAGATCATGGAGGATATGGAAGAGGAAGAGGATTCCAGATGTACTTTGGTGGGAGAACTGACTTGCTCTTAGGATGAACTTGACATGGAGAATCAGGCAGAGGGCCAGGGCAAGAATTCCTGGGATCTGGGCTTGAGCAGATGAGTGGCTGGTGGTACCACGGGAAAGATGATGAGAGAAAGGGGTTCCGTGGGAGGGGAGACGGACCCAAGCTCTATGTAAGCCTGGGTGCCCGTGAGACACTGAGGCGGAGATGTTGAGTGGACAGCGGAACACTGCCATCTGCTAAGCAAGCAGGTCTGACGGAGAGAAGGCAGGTTTGGGAGGTGCTGATTTGCAGGTAGGGTTTAAAGTTACAGGGCTGGATGAGCCCCTTAAAGGGTGAATGAACAGAGATGGGGGTGCAGGGCAAGCCCCAAAGGGCCGGAGCAAGGAGGAGCTGGTGAAGAGGGAGGAGAAGGGGCTGGCAGAGAGGGGAGCTGAGGTCAAAGTCCTGAAATGAAGCAGATGCTCCCTGTCTTCTCCTCCTAGGCACATGTGGACACTGGTAACTCTAATCAGAAACCCAGAGTCAGCGTCAACACCCCTGCCATGTCCAACCTCTGATTTACTGGAACCTCAAGACAGACTACCAGAGTCTTCACCCTGGTCTGTTGACAACACCCTTCCTGGCTCCTTCCTCCCGTTTCATCTTCCCACCCCTGCAGCCACACTGTGCTTTCCACTCATGCCTTTAGTTCCAGTGTCATGATTAACAGATATTTCTAAAACTAAACAAGCTACTTGTTCCTAGACTTAAAATCCTATTTCTCCTATAGCCTGTAGGATATGGTCCAAGTAGCCCCAGTGGGAGAGTGCAAGGATGAAGAACTCCACCCAGACAAACTCCTGCCAGCCACAAGCTGTGTGATCTTGGGTCAAGTCACCCAGCTTCTCCAAGCCTCAGTTTGTTTCTCTGTGCAATGGAGCCAAGGAACCCCGCCCCCATGCAGGGGTTCCCAGCAAACTCGTAATGGCTTTTAAGTCTCCATTCCTCTCCTGCCACCTCTTTTTAGGCTCCAACATCCATCTGCCTCCAGACTAAACAGGCCACTCCCTCCTCTAACCTTCCAATCAGACCCCATGCTCTGGGACAAACCTTCCACTCTGTTTCGTGGATATTTCCTCTGGACCGAGCTTCTGGGGACATCTCTCCAGCACTGAACACACAAGGGGTCCTGAGAGCTGATCCCCAGTGTCGCTGGGCCCCTCTGATCACCAGCTCAGACAGCTTCTTCTGCCCGCCCCACCGCCCGATGTTAGCCTGAGCAGGGTCCCTGGTGCACAGTAATTTTTTTAAACAAATATCCACTGAATGAACACAAAATGATCCACAGGAACAAGTCATGCCCACAATAAGAGAAGGAGCACCACGTGGACTCTGGCAATTCAGCCGCACTGGTCTGCAGGAACCCACAATGCAGTCCCAAGGAAGGGCTGGTTTTTTGTTTTTTTTTAAAAAAGAACCCGATTTTCAAATTTAACTCTAATAAGGTTAAGTCCAAGCTAAATACTCAGCAGTTTTAAAAAATCAATGCTTTAGACGTTCAGCTTTTTTTTACTTGAAAAACATAAACTTGGGGTTAGTTTCTACCACTGAGCAAAATTATCTTGTATGTAAAACAGAAACACTGTGGGAACTTCATTAAATTATCAGGCCCCCATTACTCATACAATTTAACTGAAAAAACCGAGACCAAGAAAAACGTCTATTTAAAAAAATATTTTCTTGTTGAAAATGGTCACAGCAGCAATCAGAGCAGCAAAATTATTTTGTAGGTAAAACAGAAACACTGTGGGAACTTCATTAAATAATCAGGGCCCCATTCTCATACAGTTTAACTCAAAAAACCGAGACAAAGAAAAACTTCTATTTAAAAAAATATTTTCTTGTTGAAAATGGTTACAGCAGCAATCAGGAAAATGCAGACAAGATCCTAGCAGCTCCTGGAGAAGAGCAGCACTGCTTCTCCTAAGACCTAATATCACTACTAAAACCTCAAAGAGTCTCATAGCCCCAGCCCAAGGCTTCAAGGTAAAGAGTGGCTTTGTTTCTCCTCCTGCTCTTCTGAGGGGCCAGGCAAGGCCGGTTAGGGTGCTGGTGGGCACTGCAATTCATTATTTGGTTGCCCGATAGCCTGTAAAAAGTTCAAAGTATTTCACATCAACACTTAATTTATTAACAAACTCCACGTGGACAGTCAGAAATGAGATGAGCTCCACAGACCTGGGACCTGTAAAGGTACACAGATAGTTTAAGAGAAAAAAATGCAGCTGTAATCACCCATCTCATAAAACTGCCATCAATAGTTTTACATAAGGAATGGCATCGTGCAGGGCCAGAATGCTTAACTGGCTCTTCTTCTAGTAGACAGTCTCAGGAGACAGATGTCTGTGTTCTTTAAATCTGTGCATGGGACAAAATACTAGTGATCTAATATCATTTGACACAGTTAAGCCAGTTTTTCAGACATTCTCTCTAGTTAATAGAGCTGAAAATCAAAAAGTGGCGTAGAAACCTATCTTAAGGTTAACTTTAACACCCAGCCTTGATGAGTAGGAACTATATCTCACACTTCTACCCAAGAGAGGCCTTCAGCGCTCATTCACACAGACTAAGACAGTTCTACTGTAAGGTACACTAAAGCATTGCTAAGTTAAGATTCTGAGGGACTTGCCAGCTGGTCCAGTGATTAAAACTCCACGATTCCACTGCAGGGGGCACGGGTTCAATCCCTGGTTGGGGAAATAAGATCCCACATGCCATGCAGCACGGCCCCAAAAAAGGGTTCTGAAACAAACATTTAAGTACTGTGCATTTCCAGAAACAATCTTAACATTGAACAGACTATCTCCAGTGTACCCCCTATTATATAGTAGTAACAAATTTACAATGGTTACCTAACTGGGTTGAGAACCAATCTCTTAAATGTTCTAGAGTAT